CGCAGTTCAAATTATGTTATTTTTGAACGCATCTTAATAATAATGTCATTCCTAAAGAAGTCCCTGTCTTTTCAAAGAACAAGATCGATTTTATTTCTGACTAATCGAATTTGATACAAATCTTATATTATTTACTAACCATATAAATCCGTGAAAATTATAAAACTTAAATTAGATTACTAATATAATTAGATGTTACTTAGAGAAAAATAGTTTATTTATAATGAAATTAAAAACAAATGAATTTTCATAAGAATCATTGATATTACAGTATTCAATCGATTGCGACCTCCCTTTTTTAGACAATTTATATATTAATTAATTATATATTCCGTGATGAGGTATTCATTAGAGTTGTAATTAAGAAAAGAAAAATCAACATGTTTTGCTATATCCTTTTGAAATTAGTATTTTCACTACTTTATATAATTTATAGTGTAAGATAGAAAAGTAGAGTTATTGAGAGCAATCTTAAAAATTTTATAATTTTTTTTGATGTTTATTGGTTCCCAAAAAATTTTTTCATTTCTTACAGCCAATAAAAATTATATATCAGATATGGAGCAAGTTTGAAGTATTATGTAAAAGTATGCACTTCTAGGACTACGATTAGGCTACGAGCAATTGCAGTAGGAAAATATGTAGTTCTTAGAGTTAACAATTATTATGGTGATAGAACTCTAAACAAAAGAGTCCCATATATATTAAATAGCTTACCTGACAATATTAGGCATGAAAGTAACCTCAAAATATTTTCCAACCTACTAAAGAACTATTTAATGAATCGCCTGTAACACATATTGTATTTAACATGTATGTAAATCAAGTAGCATTATACTAATCAAGTAGCATTACATGTAACTCAAAACGAGACTCCTAGCCCACCCACAGTCAAACTGTTAATATAGTTTTGTGGGACCTAAGATTATTTAAATTTTGTAATGAAAAGAATTAAAGAAATTATTATTATCTGACGTGTGCTTTACATATTTCAACTGTAATACCTCTAACTCAAAATGCTTCAGTTTAAATAACACGACATAACCTCACAAACATATTATACAATTACTCAATATTCCCAGCTTTTAAAAATATATTTAATGTATTTCTTTGTTCTAGTTTAGTTTGCCTATGAAACAAAATAACATATGTTTCATCAAGTTACGTTTTATTCGATTTTACTAGTCCAAGCATGTTAGGCAGATGGTCATTGTTCTTTATTCACAAAATATTTAATTCAAAAGAAGAAGAAAAAAGAAAGAAAAGTTAAGTTGTTAAAATATAGAAAGTTATTATTTTACCTTTTACAGGCATACTGTTTTTGGTTTTCCTACATTTGCTGTAGTTATGTTCCGCCTCAATATTTTGTATATTGTCATCATAACACGATTCACCTGAAAATGAAATTATGATAGATATAATTTGGTACCAAATTTTATGTTGGATGTTTTATGAGTAATTTGTGTGACAGAAGACAAGTGACTCCAATGATGTTTTTTGTTGAACATTTATCATGATTGAATATTTATTTGTTATGGTTAACATTTAAAAAATATATAAATGAATTTTATCAATTTTGCATTCACATTGCTTTACTGAAAAATATTCTTAATGAAAAATGCTTAAAAATCCAGCTTCAGGTACCCTGAGATGGAACTAACTGGGGCCAGAGGATTTTTTAAGCATTTCTCATGAAAAATATTTTCCAGTATAGCATTATGAATGCAAAATTGGTCAAATATAATAATTTTTAAGTATTTTATGATTTACCTGAACTTGACACAAACGTAGTAGATGTAGGATTACTTTGATTAGGTATAACTAAGACTTGCTCCTGAAAATCATTACTAGTACCTGTAAAAAAATATATATCTTAAATAAATGGACACTGCTACCAATTATTGCATTTTAAGAGATATGTTTGAGTTTTTCATTTAGGTTTTTATTTTAAAACATTGTCTGAACTAAAAACTAGACTTGCAGCAAATAGTATATTTATATGTTAAATACATATGCCAAATACCAAATATTCAATGAGCTTCCTGGTAGTAAAACTGAATATTAGGCATTGGTTATTCAGCCAGTATGTGGCGCCAAAATTCAATATGCTATACTGAAAAATGCTTAAAAATCCAGCTCCAGGCACCCTGAGATGGGACTAACTGGGGCCAGAGGATTTTTTAAACATTTTTCATAAAAAATATTTTTCAATAAAGCAATATGAATGCAAAATTGGTCAAATCTAATCTTTCTTAAATATATAATGATTTACCTGCACTTGTCACAAACATAGTAGATGTAGGATTACTTTGATTAGGTATAATTGAAACTTGCTCCTGAAAATCTTTACTAGTACCTGTAAATAAAAAAAAAACAAATATCTTAAACATATGTACACTGCTATCAATTATTGCATTTTAAGGGATATGTTTAAGTTTTTCATTTAGCTTTTTATTTTAAAACATTGTCTTAACTAAAAACTAGAATTGCAACGAATAGTATATTTGTATGTTAAATATATATGCCAAATATTACCATATAACTGTATATTAGGCATTAGTTATTAGGCTGGTACGTAGTGCCAAAATTTGTATCAAAAGAAAAAATGCATTTGAGACAGAAATAGACCTTTTTTAAGTATTCATGAAAATCCGTTTACATTATGACAGGCAAGAAATTCTAAATTTCCATTTTTGATCAAGATTGCAGCAAAATAATTATTGGTGCCAAGAAGTAGTATTTATTCAGAGCGTCTTTTCTCTGAAGGTGGGCTAGTCTATGAGAAAAAAGTAATAAACTACATATTTAAATAATTATTCTACACCATAACCTTCTGCTTCTAAACTTTGATTACAACAAGAATTCAAATTTACAAAAGTCATTAAATTTTCTGAAATAGAAGATGATTGTATACTATATGTTTTAATGACTTTCATGATTATAAGAAAAGTAGAAACAATATTATTATAAAATTAATCAATAATTTCTTTTATTTTACCAATTATCTCAATTACATCAAAATACATTAGGTACATAAGTATTCTATATTCGGCCGAAAAGTATGGAGATATTCAGTATTCAGCTGAATACTGAATATTCGTTGCAAGTCTACTTTCAGTAGAGAAATAAAATGGTTATTTATTTGGGTACACTTTCTGTGAGGCTAGGGAAAAAACAGTAGCATAACTATACCATGTGGATGTATCTTTCCATGGATACATGGATCTATCCATGGCAAATTAATTAGACAAGCCCGCCCCAGCTAAAATTAAATCTTCAAATGCATAGATATTTATAAAAATTAAAAATTGTATCTTAACAATATAACTATTATAAAAGAAAAGTAGAAACAATTATACAATATAATGTAGAAACAATTATGTTTATCTTTGAACTTAATATTGAGAGAAACAACCAAAGGATCAACCAAAACGGAAACAATTAATTACATATATATATATATATATAGAATTTATTCTTTTGTATGATTTTTTTAATAACTAATTAATTTATCTTGTTAAAAATGGGATTTTATTTTAGCAGCATGACATTCTGCCGGCCTATAGTTACATTACTGGGAAAGAGAAATAACAGTTGTAATTTTAGTAATAGGTTTTTTAAAAACATACCTGGTAAATGCAGTGATGGTACTGCTAATGCATTTAATCGTTTGTTTCGATTTATATCTTTGTCCGTAAAATGCATATCGCAGACAACTTTATTTTTAAAACAATCATAATCCAAAGCCGTCTCCAGTTTACCACCAGCCAACCTAACCCAAGTTACAAACTTTTCAGGATATTTGTCTGGGTTTGGGAATCTGTGCATAATGGCATGACCTGTAACCAAGTAGACCAGTGCTTTAGAAAAGTGTGAAAATACCCTGAACTTTAAAGATGAGGAACTTTCAATTGGATAAATCTTAGGGATAAACACATATCAATATTTGACTATTTATCTACGATATTTATATCTAAATGTTTCCTTGCTATTTCCGGAATTGTTCTGCATATGAAGCGGTATATAGGAGAGTTCATTACTTGTAAATTAAGAAGTATTGTAAATTCCATTTCTGTAAAGGTGTCAGCACGATCAAGATTTATTAAGATTTGTAGGCTTTTATCCTGCAAATTGATATTAAAACGGCGGACTATGGATTACTTACCATTCTTAAAACACAAACAACACAGTTTAGGCATTTTTAATCATAAATTGAACAGTCAGTACTTAAACAACTAAAAGCGTCCGTTTCGCAAAACAAATATTTCAGTCACTATAATTGTAAAACACAGCACAAAACACTAAAACCAGGTGGAGGAGAACGATTCTCAACTCAACACTCAGCAAGATGTTCCTCGAGCCGTAAGATATAATGACGAAGAAAAAGATAGCTAAACACTCGTAAGCATCAACTATCTCCCGCCATTACCGTTTTGTTTTTTAATAGTACGTCTCATGCACATGTAGACGTTACGCCATCTGTTGATAAATAAGATAAGCTATGTTTTAGATTCAATTACCAGATGTCACTGCCATCCTTGTAAAAATGACAATTTATGAAACTGTCCCCCACCTGACATACCCTCTTGACGGGTTGTGGAGTATGTTCATCGATCACCCCCTCTGCGATTGTGGCATTGAGGAAGGAACTACGGATCATATTTTATTTAATTGTTCAAATTTATCCATTTCGCTTTATGATTTGCTACCATCAAAAGTTCCACGTCCAACAAATATAAAATGTATCTTGAGTATGGAGAATCCCAGCCCATTCAAAATTTTAGCAAAATTCTTTGCAATCAATAATAGTCTTAATTTATAAATATATTTGTTTTCTATATACATTCTATTTGTATTATCTTTAACAATGTAATCAGATAGACGCGCTCAGAGCTATTTTTTTTATTTTATTGAAATTCAAAATTTTACATATTTTATTATTGTTTCTATACGTGTAAAGACCACAAACGTGACATTGGCGGAATTGTGTAAATGCAAATAGGCCATGAATTAAAAAAGAAGAAGAAGGAGTATGTTCATAGTATGTTTCCGTCTTTGTTGTTCCCTAATATCTTCGATCAACAATGATCGAAGCCTAATATATACTTTTATTATTTATTTGAGTGATTTGTTGTTTTTCAGACCTACGCGTTTTCACTGAAGTTAAATTCACTTCGAACGAAGTGTAATACACTACGTTATCTACAGCGACTTAGCAAAACATAGTATCTCCTTACTAGTCTGTGTAGCAAACCTTCACGTATACTGATTTCTTTCAAGGAAATTAAATAATCTAAGCTTTTAAAGTACCATAATGGCAAAAAGATCGGCGTCTATGGCTTTCGATTCTGATGCCAAGACAGATCAAACGAAACCTAAAAAAGAGGGAAAGAAACATTCTTTGGATTCAGATGAAGAAGATAGTGGAGCTGAAGAAGAGAAACGAAACATTCTTGATGCTGATGACATTGAAGGTGAAGAGGAGGGTGTCGCAGGTGTCGAAGGTGAAGTGAGTACAATTATATGGAATTGATAGCCTTCACTTTGTTCTATAAAGACTAATTATATGTTCAACCTATGTCCTACAGACTTTGAAAGTTATATTTATTATTGTGATAATACATATTATTTTGGTAATGACATGATTTATGTAAATGTCATTACTTATGATAAAAAGCTGGTAAGTTTCTTTCGCTTGTTCTTCTTGTCAGCTAAAAGACGTCCTGAACAAGTGGTAGGGGAAAAAAAATTTTTTTGGACGATTCAAAAGTGCTTGTAATAGCCTACTTGAATAAAGATATTTTCATTTCATTTCATTTCATTATACCATCTAATAGATATATATATATATATATATATATATATATATATATATATATATATAGGGGAATAATACAACCTCTTAAAATTATTACTTTATAAAAAATCTATTAAAACCCTATGTTTTTTTATCATAAAACTTATAATACATCTAGACTAAAGTATAGTATATTAAACCAAGTGGGTTCATGACTTTTTCTATTGATGAAAATTAAACTTGATAGCCCAGCACATAAGTATCAACTTGTAATCATAGGGTATTCTAATACATGTTACCATTTATTTCCATTGAATAGAGCCATAAAACAAATATTTTGGAAGGATAAATCTGTTTTATTGCCTTCAAATTTAAACTTTTTTATATCCGCAAAAATGCTTCATATTTATGATGTCATTGTGAAATGTACACAAAACAGATACACAGAGCAGAAGATTAAAAGATTTCAATAAAACAAGAATAACATCTAATGATCAATCACGAAATAAAAAGATATAAATGAGCTGAGAACAGCACCAAGTAGGAATTTGATTTAGACATAACTTTAAGACTAATCTTGACAACAGTCACGTCACACAATGGCAGGTTGTGTTTCAAATCATGTGACACAGACAAAAAAATCACAACTTTTCAATTTAAAACAATAAGATAATTATGCGATTTTAAAACTCAAATTCAGAATCTGTATGTTTGATACATTGCAAATTTTAGTTTTTGTATGACTTATTTTTTACTACTGAAACTACCCTATTGCTTGGCAAAACCAGTTTTTTATGTTGTTTGTTTAAAACAAAAGAGTATTACCACATCTGAATTGAATTCTCCTGGGGTTTTCAACTGTATCTGTATTCATATGACATTTCAGATTACAATCACACCTTTCAACATGAAAGAAGAACTTGAAGAAGGCCATTTTGATACTCAAGGACATTATCATTGGAAAAAAGAAAAAGAAGTACGTGATGGATGGCTTGATAATATAGACTGGGTAAAAATAAAAGGCCGACCTGAAGATAAATACAAAGTCCATAAAGATGATGACAACAAAGGTCTGGGTGATGATTCAAGCAGTGAAGATGATGAACCAGAAGAAAAATTTGATTTGATAAAAAACTACCAAGAAATATTACAGTACATGAAGCCGAAAGAGACTATAGCTAAAACTTTGCAGCGACTAGGTAAACTTATCAAAGTTTTTATTTAAATTTTTTTATTATTTAAGTTATTGAATCTTATACTATTGAAATCTAAGTACAAAAATCAATTATGATAATTGGCCATTTATTTATGATAATTTGAGATTTATCTATGTAGTTAGTGACAAGGAGAATGATTTAATTATACATGCCAAAGTAGGTCTGTGTCACTCTCACATCTAACCCATTAAACAGAGTTGACTTGAGATAGGACATAAGTTGCTATTACTGTGTTAAATAGATTGTAAGGAAGTTCATCATTGTCAAAGATAAAATTTTGAAACTTTATTTCAGATAATGAAAGAATATTCATTATAGAAATGCTGCTCAAAGTAACTATAGCATGCAGACGAAGTCATGGGCATAAGCTACTTTATGATAATTTGATATACTGTTGTATTCAAAACAATTATTTTGTATTGTAGGTACAAGTTCTAAAATTTCCAGTGCAGAACGTTGGAAAAGAAAGAAAGCTGGGATTGTGGACGAAAGCAGTATATTAGTGACAAGGATAACAGAGCTTGCAAATCAAATTCTAACCAAACTAGGTAATATGGACATCTATCAAGAGACATATGAGAAGATAAATTTAATAATTGCTAAAAATAAAAATAAAAATGAAGATGCAAATCTAGATATGTATGCTGATGATTTTGATCAAAGAGAGAAGCAGACTATGGACAAAAATAATACTGATAATACTAATATGTCAGAAGACAAAGATGATAATGAAGAATCTCAAGTTGTTAAATGGGAATTCAAGTGGAGTCAAAATGATGATGCTGAAGTCATTGGCCCTCATTCCACTGAGCAAATGCAAAAATGGGTACAAGAAGGATATTTTAAAAGTGGTGTTTGGGTCAGAAAGCATGGTGAGGACAGTCAGTTTTATAATTCCAACAGAATTGATTTTGAACTGTACATGTAGTATGTTGCATACATCAATACAAATCAAATTCACAATGTTGTTTTATTAAACAACTGTAATTTCTTATTTCTTCTTTGTGCTTTCTTTTTTTTTGTTACTTCAGTTTTGTTAGCACTCCTGGATCTTTTTGAAGTGGAGAAAAAACAAATAGTGCCACCAAAATGCTTTAATTTTTAAGTGACGTAATAAAAGAAGTTATGTATTTAAGATTCGTATTTATGTAATGTTAGAATGGCACAAATATTATGCAATTACGTATATGAGTTTACTCTTAAAGAAGTATTCAACTTACAAATAGCTGCACTGAAAAGCATTTCATTTCTTTGAAATCAGTATTTGCAATTAATTAATCATTACTAGCATTATAATCATACCTACTTCACTATCAATGTTCTTGATCATATGTAAAGGAAATACTGGAAAAATAATTTTCATAAAACATTAATTATTCAATAAGTCAAATTATCAGTTTGAGCCTTGTAACATTGTTGTGCTTTGTCACTATTACGAAAGCGAGGGAATGACAAGGTACTTTGTTATATTTACAAGTTTTTTAATGTAATGTGCTCATTATGTTATTAAAGAATCATTTAAAATTATTTATCAAAATTAATCAAATACCCTTCGAAACTATTGAACTGGGCAGATGAGGTATTTGTCCGCATGCCTATGTGACGTTACATTAAATTGGCGACGGCCGCCTAGAAGGCACGTGGGGCAGGTCCCAAACTAATTTTGTACTGATGAGACTCACTCGTGAGGTACCTCGTTTGAGTTACCCGTCACGACAAAATGAGGGAGCTACTCGTTATTCCACATTTTCTGAGGCCTCGAACACGAGGTATTTACACAGTTTTCACACCTCACTCAGTAAAATAGTCACACGGTAGAAATGAGTGGCTTCGAATGAAAGGTTGAGTCGATATATAATCAACATATACGATTGATTGAGGGAGTGGGTCAGTTTTATGGCTGTTTAGCATTTCTTCGCTATTACTGCCTATTTAACGTTATCTTATATGAATAATGTTAGTCCGTTAAAGTAAAGTGAGGCGAATTGGTAAAATCAATAAATGATTGTAACGCAATTAAGTATAACAATAAAAATAATAATTGAGTACGCTGTCCTTTGGTCATCACTATTATAATATACCTATTGCTATAAAATTAATTTCTTACTTCAAACTTTTTAGAGCGAGAATTTGTTGAATCTGGTTTTAGTTTTTGAACTTATTTGGTTAGAGTATTATCCTAATGAAGAACATAAACATCAAATTATTCAGTCTAGTCTTGGCTAAAGAAGTTGAAACTATGCAATCGGTTCGTAAATCTATTGCGGGAGACCTTGTACCGAGAAGAACTGACAAGAAACTCGGCATGGGCTGTTTTTCTCCCTGTTTTATTTCATACAGATTAATTAACAGTATAATATCCTTTACTAGGTAAACAATTTTTAATATGAGTCTTAAATTTAGACAATTGTAAATTCAAAGGTTCTATAAGAATTATTTCTATAGTAGTGTTTGTGGTAGTGTTTATCTTGCCTCATAAATGTTGCCAGAACTTTCTTTAGCCTGCATTACAGATGACGGCAAAACAAGTTGTCTTTGTTTCTAGTATTAAAATTGTGTAGTTCAGTGTTTCCAACATAAAGTGTACCATTGTACAAAAATTGGAAGGTCACTGTCAATATCCCAATGAGGAAGTATTTAAAAAAAATATTTCCCGAAATCTAACTAGATGTCACGTTACATTTCAGGAACTATTTTTTTAAATACGGTACGTTCTTGATTTCTCCATGACAACCTTTCCGGTTTTCTTTCATGTATAAAATAATAAGTACATTAGTTTTCAAAACTCAATCAACAACTCATATCTGTTTGTACTTTTTAGTATTTGTATTGATATCTAAGTTTAGAACTTTTCACAGTTTCTTAATTTGTCAGTTAAAAGGAATGGAAATGACTGTCGTTGGTCCATTGGTTCCCTGCAAAAATCAACTTTTGCTTGAGTCGCCATCTAGTGGGGTGTTTTCGTTTTTTTAATACTTCCTCATTATTAATCTCATAGTGTGACTCACTATTTTTTTAATGAGGATGAGTGAGGACCTTATTTTCCCTCGTGTGGGGCTCGCGAGTTACCCCTCACTTGAGGTGAGGATAGGAAATGTTACAGTAGCAGTGAAAGAGTACGTAGCGAGGCGCGCGCATCGTTGCCGTTTGGTACAAAATAAGGGAGGGACTCAGTAATGCGAAAAAAAAACATTTTTTGTCTTTAGATTCTAAGAAATAACCTTTATTAGATTATTATTACTAGTGTCAAATTTTTAATAGTTACCTTATTTTTAATAGTGTCAAATGTTCCATTTTTAAAATCGATTAATCATTTATATTTATATAATAATATTATTTATATAATAATAATCATTAATTAATCGATTTTAAAAAACAACGGAATATAGATACATTTTTATTAACTTTGGTTTTTACTTAGACTAAATAATATCATTTATCTATAAAAAATGAAATAGGTATTTGCGAAGAAACACATAAAAAAACCTGAATCTTTCCAAAAAAACTCATAAAACTTAACCCGTTTCCTCAATCTTGAATATATTAAGTAAGTATCGAGTCGCATTTTCATTCTAAACAACTCGCTATTTTGTTGCGTGAGGTGTAATATCTGTACTCGCGCTTCGTGCTTGAAGCCTCAAAAAGTGAGGAGCTAAATGAAGTGGTTTAAAATTTAAAAACGAGTACTCCCTCATTTTGTCTAAATGAGGACCTCAAACGAGACACCTCGCGAGTGAGGGGCTCATCACTAAGTGCAATGTATAGTGCAGTGATCTAACGTATGAGCAGTGTTGCCATATATACAGATTTATCTGTATTGGTACAGATTTTTGGCTCCTGATACAGATGCCAGATATCACTTTAGGTTTGTACAGATTTTTAAAATTCACATTTTCATGTGTGTGAATACAAAAAATAATATAAGTGAATGGTTCAAACTTTAATACATTTTGGTCCTAAATATTTATTTGTCCCTTAAACTGGATGCTAAAATTACTTTTGCTATGGCAACCCAATTGATAGCCGAATTTACATTATACGTTATTACGAGTTTACATTATATCGTACATTATGCGACTCTCAAAGAAATAGTTTCAGCCTTATTATGCCTACCCCACTCCAGTGCAACAGTAGAAAGAATATTTTCTTCAATTAATTTGATAAAAACGAAAACTCGCAACCATTTAGGTACAGACACTATGGAAGGATTACTCTTGACCAAACAATTATTAAAAAACGAGCCATGTTTCAAGCTAAATGTTAGTAAAAATATGATTAGTAAAATGAATAAAAGAATGTATCAACAATAAGTATGTTTTTCACTTGTCTCCTACTTTATAAAAAGTTTAATTAATACAAATTTTATAAAGATTTTAGCTTTTTCGTCGTATACAGATATAATACAGATTTTCAGACTTAGCGATTCAGATTTCGAGCTTTAAGATATGGCAGCACTGCGTATGAGCCTAGTCGACGTTAGGCAGTACGATTACCTACGTCGAAAATTTACAAAAAAAAAAAAAGTCAGTATTGGTTGCGAGAAGAACAGTTTTTTTGTTATACTAAACAAAATAAAATGTTGTAAAATTTATTTCGTTTATCGTCATTATTGCACGGCGAATCCGTTATTTAAATTAATATGAAGCCTTTAATAGATTTCGATGAATGCTTGAGAGACTCTCCAAAATTTAGGTAAAGCTAATGAAGAAAAGTCATTGATAGAAAGTGAATTTATACGTGTTATTTTAATAATTTTCGTTACCCGATTATTTTACCTGATACAGGGAGCAATTAGAGACAGAAGAAGCGAGTATTGATAACTTGGAGCAGAAACTAGATAAAGTTTTAAAAGCATGCACTGTTATGATTGAATCAGGGAAGATTTATATGACTCATAGGGGGTAAGTGAACAGCATATTGCAAGTTACTACATATTCGAGACATATGTTAAAATTGGCACACAATATCTACATGGTGTTTGAAGTTTTTAATAGTTTTACACAGATACTGAAAAACAGAAATCTGTAATTTTGTTATCTTATAAGAACTTCAAGTCCCATTTCAGTACTAAATACTGCTTATTTTTTATTGTCCAGCACTTTTACAAATGCTCTATGGGATTTAAGTGGAAGTTTCTCTGAAGACCCCACAGTAATGGCCTCTCTGAATCGCATGATTCATGCACTGCAAGAAATGAATAAATATCACTCTATTTTACTGGACCAGGCCTCCAGAACTATACTAAAGAATCTCACAGCTTTTATTAAAGTGTAAGTCTATTTAATTCATTATATATCTTTCAAGATATAATTTATGTACAGTAGAAGGTTCTTATTCGTGGAGGATATGTTCCTTATATTATGCTGCAAATACAGAAAATGTGAATACGGGATTTTGCATAGAATTATAGAGGATACTTTACAAAATAAAAGCAATATGTATAATAAATATAATTGAGGTAAGATTATTGCAGAACTATAAATTAAAACTAATCAATGTCAGCTTTAAATAACAATTATACTTTTTTGCAGTTTTTAAAGATCTTCAAATTTAGATTTATAGGTTGCTGTAACATTCATAATAAAACTTAAAAAAAATATTTTATGAATGCTACAATGAAGCAAAAGTTACCAGGCATTATAAAAGCCACCTTGACACATGCCCGAAGTATATGAGAGATGATGACCATTACTAAATGATGCTGAATTTCTTTATGGTACTTATTGTATCTTCAAGTAAACAGATTTTTAGCAGCAAATACAGAAATTGTACATACAATACAATTTTTTCACTGTATATCGAAAGCATTTTTAAAACAAATATTGTATAGTATCCTGATTTTTTTCAAGTCATAAGGAGCTAAACGGGAAATTATTCTTTAATAATTATCACTAAAAACCTTGAGATTGTTTGTTTTGAGGTATTTAATTAATTTATGAAATCTTATCAGACTAGACAACTTTCAGATGTTTTGATGTTATTTAGAAATGGTACTTTATACTTATACTTGAATAATATAAAGGCTTTTTCAGGGACATCAAAGGTGTCAAAGAAAGTAAGCATCATTTTGAAAAAATCTCAAATGATCTGGATATTGCCTTAAATAGAAATTCTCAGGTAAGAATTTTAACTTGAGCTTATATGTATATTAAACATTAAGCATTTATTTATTACATAGAGGCAGGGAATGGAGAAATAAACCAAAGAGTAGAAAAAGGTTACACAGCATACATTACCAGAGTAATATCTCATCTCTGTCTTGGAAATAGATATTTAATCTTGTGTGTTGCCAATGAATATAACATAGATCATTTTTCTGTGTGAATGACAAAGGTATTGAAATTAATGCAGGTGGTATTATTTTGCCCTATACACTTTATGACATTACTAGTTTTTTAGCATGAAACATTAAATGATTTTCAAAATTTAGATTTATTTTCTTGCTTTTTTGTTGTAGTTTTTGTTATATTTGGATGTTTTTTATTCATTTGAGTTTTTCTTAAGATAAAATTTGAGTTTTGTCATCATTTCTATTGTTGCTTAATGCTATGGTCTTTTAGGGTAATATTTTATTTATGTTACTCCTTATGAAAAAGAAATATATTTTGTTCATATAGGTGTCACGTCATAAATCAATGGATGTAGAAGAGGCAGTTAATCTCTTACTAGCCACCAGGTCATGCTTCAGACACACTGCCCTGGATCATGTCCATAAGATTACTATGCTGCAAGCTCGGAAGCGTCATGAGATTCTAGCAACTGTAAGTGTTTTATAGATTTTAAAATAATTACATTACACTTAACGCATCCAATCATTATTCTTGTCAATTTTGGACACCTTCATGTGTTTGTATATAAATGAAAATATATCTAAAATTTATAAATCGTCCAAATTGGTTCTGTCGTTCATTCATGAAACTAAACTGACGTCCTATGCTGCCATTTTCTATGCGAGTATAGGGTAATTAATTTAATGTAGACAGATAAAAGTAAAATAGGTTTGTTTGTCGTTGGAAACGGTGGTACCGGCAATCTAAAAGCGGGTTAATCCCGCCCAAAGCGGGAAATATGTTCAAGTCAATAAAAGAGATATGCATATTTTTTTTTATATGATAATTTATATAGTTATATAACTAACTAGCTTACGCCAGCGGCTTTGCCCGCGTGGTCCCTAGGGAAATGTTTAGTGGAATAAAAATATCCTGTTATTTAAGTCAGCAAATACCCTATCTGTATTTATACCAAATTTCATCAAAATCCCTCGCGTCTGAGCCGGGTACCTTACTCATAGATCTAAATACCCCTCCCGCACGCGCACCCCCGCCTTGGTGACGTCCACTTAGCAACGGGCCGTGCAGCAGAAATCGTAATATTTTTATTTCGCCATAACTTCAAAACCAAACGTCCAATTTTAATAATTCAAAGACACAATATAGACCTACATAATCTATACTTAGTGATTTAATTTATTTTGATAAGGATTAATAGCATGATTAAAATAAACGCGTTAAAATGTAGTCCAAAAAAATTCAAGATTTCTCTACATAGATAGGTATAGTGTGTCACGGACTTTTTTGTAGATATTTATAAGATCTACAAATTATTAAAACATTTTATGGTTCCATCTTTTATAGTAAACTTTTCTGGTTGATTTTTTACATCTTGTGTCCAAAAAACCCAAATATCTTACGCAACCCTTTTTTTTTTCTTAAATAAAATATACCTAGCCTATGTTACTCGTGGATAATGTAACTTTAGAATGGTAAAAGAATTTTTAAAATCGGTCCGGTACTTTTTGGTCCTATTCATTACAAACTAAGTTTTCCTCTTTATAATATTAGTGTAGAAAAATAGCCGGCATTGTGAAACTAAAATTTAGTAATAAAAATAAATTATCAAATTAATTCACAACTACAAGCATTTCGAATGCCAGAATTTTTTGTGCACTTATCGTGACGTCAAAGTACGCGTTATGACATTTTAAATCAATAAGGATTTTGAGTAATTGATTACTAATCAAATTGATTTACAATTAATATTTTTTTTAATATAATCGACTTTTTATTAGTTTACCGATTTGGTGAAAAATAAATAAAAGCCTAAAATATAATTTAAATTATTATCTGTTGCTTATTTCGCGAAATAATATATCGATGTTAAATTTTTGTAACGACATTCACACACACACTCAAACGCAACACTTATTTGTCACAGCATATGTGATGGTAATGTATATGTACAGTAAGTTGGTAAAAAGAAAGCTTTCGAATTGACGACCTTGGTCGCTGGTTAGTGTCGTTGGACATCCGAAACGCGAAATCCAATGTTTGTAGATAACGTCAGCCACAGTATCAGCTGATACGTCATCGGTAGGTATTGCTTCAGGCCATCGTGTGTGTCGATCGATCATCGTGATGAGGTAACGTTTGGGGATGTACCCCATTACATATGCTGTGACATACATTACCATCACATATGCTGTGACAAATAAGTGTTGCGTTTGAGTGTTTTCAATTATTTTGCACTTTAGTAATTATTTTCCAGACGAAAACGAAACATTTTTCAATATTAAAAAATGTTTACTTAGACTTTAGTCTAATGTGAATGTGTAGAATCAAAAAATATTTTAAGTTCTTAAATATATCCAAATTTATGCAGATTAAATTTTTATTATTAAAGCAATAATGATCGGCATATAATATATTTCACCTTTTTTAAACAGAGGCACATTTATTTATTTTTATAATAGGGATTTTATAAAAAGGGGAAAAGAGACATTTCGTGATTCATAAAACAATAAAATAAATGATATCCATGAAATTAAATTATACATAACTTTGTAAAATTGTATTGAACATAACTTTCCATTACATTATAAAAAAAATATATTATTTAAATTAAGGGGAAAACAAATTAATTAAAACAACATATTTCAATCAAGTCGATTGTAAAAACACATTCTATTATGGCATACTTACCTACGTGATTAAAAATACGATCGTTTTAATCATTTCATTTATCCTTCTGTGTTAACCCTAGAATAGGTAATTTAATTAAAATTACTTTGCACGGTCTTTAGGAGTTTAACGTAAAAATAGGATTAATCTCAGTGCTATTTTTTAATCCTTTGATAATAGTAGCCTATACTAGGTATAGTACCTATAAGCCGCCGGCATACTGCTGCTTGCCGGGCAGGAGCGCAAAACCTGGCAACACTCATTTTCGAGCTTAAGGTAGTAAAATAAAACTGGAAATTACGACTACGGAAACCTACACTACGCCCGGCGGCACACAACTGCATAAAACATGTTTGACCTAGCTAGTAAAATCAAGAAATAGGATTAAATACTTGTCGATCGAAGTAGCTCGGTGGCGTAGAGGATAAGCGCCTCGACCCGCGATCGTAGTCGTTAAGCAACTTTCGCAAGGGTCGGTCACGGGATGGGTGACAAAAAAAAATATCTCAAGCTACTCCGTGCTTCGGAAGGCACGTTAAGCCGTTGGTCCCGGCTGCATTTGCAGTCGTTAATACCCTCCAATCCGCATTGGGCCAGCGTGGAGGGTCATGGCCCATCCTCCTTAACCATCCATAAGGAAGGCCTGAGCCCCTGCAGTGGGAACATAAAAGGGCTGGTGATGATGTTGTTGATACATTTCTTTCATTATGATCGATAATGATTTATTAAATTTTCGTTAATTACATAATTGTGTGGGAAATTTTATTAATGATAAATAATGATACGATGATTAATTGTAAGTTGGGTGTAGTTAGCTGTTATCTATACGATTTCGCAAAATCGTTCTTCTTTCCGTGTAAGGCAATCTTATCTATAAAATAGTAATATTAGTCACTCGTTAGAAACCACCCGCCCATTGCGATGCCATTCATTTTCCAACACAAACCGTAGACGTAGCAGGTGTTGCAATTCTAGTCAGAATAAGTTTTCTGTAGTGAACGGTCATCGTTCAGATTTTGCGACAGTTATGTATTGTATTGCGAGAGCGACGATACTTTTTACTGAAGAATAACTGTGTTTATAGACTAGTGTTTCGATGAACGAGGCCTGTTGTGATTGTCTTAATTGTAATACAGGTATAATCAGGTATATATTTAAACATGCTGCGTTTTTATTTAAATGTGTAGTGTGACGATTTTCGCTTTCATGTCTTTAATTATGTTTCGTATCGCAAAATAAAAATAATGACCCTAATAGGGTCACTTCTATGTCAAGATGATTTTTCTTAAAAAAGAAACGCTAAAGCCTAAGCGCCTATAAGATATTTCCCGTTGACCTAAAATAATTAATGAGAACTTATGAACTTAACAACAATAGCGAGAATACAGGGAATGTTCCAGTTTAATGATAATTCCTAATCGAAACAATTATCACTTCGAATTAATTTATTTGATCATTTATTAAAATAACGAAGACTAAATATAATTAATTGTTTGTGCATTTAAGTTTTACAGTTAATATTTTTCATGATTTTAAATATTGAATATCTGAAAAAAGATCACACTATCACAGTGAAAGTAGTTTAACAGACACACCTGCGTTTGTATTTGTAATTTCGTGTGTCTGGCGACCCGTACACATTTTCTAGCGTGACTCGTAAACTTCACTTTTTGAATACATTATATGTATCCGTTACCCTGGCTATGATTCACAACAGATAGGAAGTCCATGTTTATAAATATATTTTTTATGTAATATTTATAACGTCGATATCGTATATTATTATAATGTTTTATCAATTATGCATTCACAATGCTACACTGAAAAATGCTTTACAAATCCACTGCCCCACAGAGTTCATATCAAAGTGCCAAGGACAAAATGGATTTTTTAGGCCTTAAAAAATGATTAGTTAGAGAAATCCTAAATAGAATCACTCGGTTGTCTACCTATCCGTCCGTCACAGCTTATTTACTCCAAAACCGCTGAATCGGTTGAGCTGTGATTTGGTACCTATACATATGTAAGCTGAACAGGCAAAATGGTATGTAAGCTGAACAGGATGACATAACATAAATAAGTGATGGAGTTTGAATTACCTATAGGAAACACTATTATTTATTTATTATTATTAAAAATATTTTTAAAACATGTATTTGATATTCCATCCGTTTCGTTTGATATAAGCAAACGAAGTGGCCCTTCGTCCACGAAACCACTGAAAGTAAAATTTCGAAAAAATACTCTAATTACTATACTTTATAGATTAGAAGAAAAGTTGTAAGAAAAGCAGTTGTTTTAATGTTTGTACAGAACTGCTTTTGCGTAAGTCCTAGGTACTCTTACTTTTTTACACTGATCTGGCCGCGGGTTATTGAACCGTAGCGATGATACCGAACTGATGAGTTTACCGACTTTTAATTATGTAAATATTATGGCGGTGTTAAACAATGCATTGCGCATTCGCCCTGCTCTTGGCAATCTTTTTTATATTTGTCTCTCACCTACTAAGTCAGCAGCAATGATAATTATCTATTCCAAATAATACATTAGCGGTAATAATATTTTTATAATACCTGACGCAATAGACGTTGTTCAGTCTTAATTATAAAATTTTGCAGCACGCATTCTGTAAATTCTATGTGAAACGTCATAAGGTTACTTTAAAAAAGTTTATATTATCTAAGCACAAATATTAGATTAGAAATAATTTTATATGGTAGTTAAATATTCTTGATAATAACTTCTTCTCTTGATAATAACAAACACAACAAAAATAGAATTAGCGAAATCGGTCCAACCGTTCACGTGTAATGGCGTGACCCAGGGAAATAGGGATTCATTTTTATTTAAAAAAGATATACGATATCGAACAGATAAGTTTTATCTGAAGGTTGAAAAACAGTGCCTATAAATTATGTTGCGAGAATCATTAGTAAGTAAAAAATTATTGTTGTCATATTTCAAATATCAAATTAGAATTAAACTTTGTTACAGTTTTTATCGTATTTGCAAGCGTGCTGCACATATTACCACCAGGGCGCTGATTTGAGTGAAGATTTGGATCCGTTTCTCAAGGCCACTGCTGACGAAGTAAGAATAAAAACTGTTTTGTACTAATTATGTTAATTCACATTTTTAATATATACTGAATTCGCATTAAAAAAATATTACAAGTGTGAATTAACTCGTTTTTATTCGAATAATTTTTAATTATCCGAATAATTTATTTTTATAACATAATGAACACTTACCAAATATATGAAAAGTATCGCGGTTAGTAACACGTATAGCAGCTCATGATATGCGAAACTTCAGGGCATTTTTGTCTCTTCGTATTACTTTAAAACATTGCGCAAAAACGCAAAACGAAAACAATAGATCAGTAAATTAAAAAATGAATTAATGATTTTGGCAAACTATTTCGATGGTTATATAAGATTGACACACATTTATTTTTACACTAGCTTTTACTCAGCGGCTTCGCTTGCGTGGTCCTTCATTACATATAAACCTTCCTCTTGAATCACCCTGTACATTGATCAAACCGCATTACAATCCTTTGATTGTAATGTGTAGTTTAAAAGATCTCAGCTTACAAATTAAAATAAAATTAATTATCTTGTTTTTCTTTAATTGAGAAAATTTAGAAAACTAACGATCCAACACGATTACATAGGTACCATAGATTAGACATATGACGCAGTTGTCTCGGTAATAAAAATATTTGTTTTATTATTGTACGCATTTTAGGTTTCAACGATGCGTAACGATACGAAGATACTGGACAAGGAGATGGAAAATCGTCACACAATTGTGAATAGTAAAGACACAGTGTTGCCTAGTTGTAAGGCGGGAGAAGCGGATGGCAACCCTAAAGAGGGCCTGTTGAGCACACCCTGTCTAAAGAATATGCCGCGAATGCAGGGTTACTTGTTTAAGAGGACATCCAATGCTTTCAAAACATGGAACCGAAGGTGGTTTTATTTGTACGACAACAGACTTGTATATAGGTACGTTATATTTTTTAATATACTAGCTGTCTCCCGCTACTTCGCCCGTATAATTGTAGCCTGTGTCGCTAGCGTATGATGTAGCTTTTCATAGGTGAAAGAAGTTTTCTAAATCCGTCCAGTAGGATTATTCTACGCAAACAAATATTCAAATTATCTCTTTCTTATATTGGTATAGGTTCATTACCAGCTAAAAAGCAAGATTTCCAACAGCACGCTAGTCTATACCGAATTGTCTAACTTGTTTTTAAGCCTTAATGCATTGTGGGTAGAGTTCAACATCAATTGAGGAAAGTTCATTTTAGTGATAGCTTTTCGTTGCGGATTTCTATGTTTACATTTTGGAAATTTAAATCAGAATTGGTTTATCAAAACTGGACACAAAGCAGGATAAAGGAGCGAATGTCAAATATATCGTTGTCATGATCCATTTAAATTTAATTTCACCTTAATTTCTATACTTAGAGGCTACGTAATGTAGGTTACCAAATAATTATTATTGATAGTGGCGTCACGGCCTTATTACATAATTCGCAGTGTTTACAAGAGTCAGAATCAAGGTTACAGAGTACTTTTTCGTAATTTAGTTAAACTATAACGCTGTTAATTTATTAATGTAATGATTTGTTAATTTAAAGTATTCACCATATTCCACAGATAATGTCACTTATTAACTAACTAGTGCTGCTATGCAACCTTATTATTGAAGATAGTACAATGAATATATTCTTACATATTATTTTAGTTTATTCCAATATTTGCTACAACAACCGTATGCTGTACGTAATTGGAATGACATTAAAATAAAATATTGACGATTTCAGAAAAAGAACTGGTGAACTAAATGTAACTGTGATGGAGGAAGATCTCAGGCTTTGTACTGTAAAACCTGTTCTGGACGGTGAGAGGAGATTCTGTTTCGAAGTTCTATCTCCTTCTAAGTAAGTTTTTTTAAAATATTCTATTGACTACTATAGTCAATAAGATAAATCGCGGACGAATTAAAGAAAGGTCAGTTGAAACTACCCTAACCCGCCGTGTGAAAAGGTTCGCACGCCGGGAAAAAATTGTGAAATGATAGACAGACAGAATAATTTGACATGACATTCATATTGTTCTCGATTCATAAAGTGAAGATTTCCCTAAAAATCTTAAAACATTAAGTTTAAGGCAGATGACGCGGGTTTTGGCCACTGGCCCCCTTTTGGCCGTTTGGGACTTCAAAGTAATGTAACTAACGCCAGATATATTACTTTACCGTGTACGGTATTTAAAATGTTAAATTATGGCATAACTAAAACGGTTGATACCTAGCCAAAAGTAGGTCCAAAGAAATATCACTGCCTTATATTGCCTTAGTATCAGTCTTTGCTAAAGAATATTTTATTTTAATATTTAAAATCATGCAAAGTATATGAGAAAAGTATCAATTAAAATTTTCAGGAATTTTAATACCCTGTGGCGACTGTTGTATCAACCACGTCTCACTGTGCTAACATCGTCTCAATAATAGACAGTAAGACGTAAGCTATAAGTTAGGTCATATAGTCACAGGATGGCATTGAGGTTCAATTTTAGGGGCCTGTCGGTCTGCATCACGCTTACAATGTTTCTATGCCAAATCAATATATATACAACTTCTAACTACAGTTGATTGTAACGTCCTTTCCAAGCTATTAATATCCAGCCCAGATAGATATCCTTTATCAATACGATCGCTCACACCTTCGTTATTTATCGTATTAGAAGCCATATGCTGCAAGCAGACTCTGAAGAGATGTTGAACAGTTGGATAGCAGCATTACAGAATGGTATACGATCGGCAATACAACAGGGACAAAGTCGCGAGAACCCAGACTCTCAGTTGGTACTCGTGCCAGACGATTCCAAACCTCATGGCAATAGAAACAGCGTCGCAAATGTTCGCATGAGGAAAGTCAGGTATGAAATTAACAGCTTTTCTTTGGTAGTTTTGTAAGTATTTTGCATTTTTTGGAATATGGCTTTATTTCAGAATCTGGGAACAGTTGCTTACGATTCCTGGTAACAACAATTGTTGCGACTGCGGTAGTCCGAATCCGCGGTGGGCAAGTATCAATCTTGGCATAACATTATGTATTGGTGAGTTTAATGTACTTTTTTAATATTAATTATCAGAATATAAATGTATTTTTATGTTTATATAAATAATAAATAATATAATATAAATGTCTTTTAAGATTATATTACATTATTATTATTATAAGTAAAAGTTGGTTAGTAAAGTAATGTATCGCGATAAAAAAAACATTGTAGCGACATTACAATTTCTATACCCCAGTCTAAAAATATTGCTGCTGAATCTATCTTTCTCAACTCTAAAGATAGATAAAACTTTGTTGTTAACATCAAATACAAAAAATAAACAACATTAATTAAACTGTGTCACAATCGGCGGTATTCGGATAAACAAATTATTATCTATATATAATAAATTAGAATTCTGAAAAAGAAAAAGAGGAAAACAATATATTCTGTAACAAATATTAAAATAAAATATTCATTATATATTTTGGCAGATTGATATGTATAAAAGCTTTTATGTTTCTTTTATTATAGAATGTTCCGGAATTCATCGCTCTTTAGGGGTACACGTGAGCAAAGTCAGATCTCTTACTCTGGACGACTGGGAACCAGATATTATAAAAGTAAAATTTTGTTCTGCACTCTGCTATGTCTTTTGTCGCATTCATATATAATATCTTACTAATACTTTTACAGGTGATGGCCGAACTTGGCAATAAGATAGTAAATTTGATATATGAAGCAAACACAGATGGTGCTACTGTTGCCCGAGCGACACCTGATTGTGAAACGTATGTATATATTCAATTGCTATATTTCACATTAATTACATTGACATTAATTAGTAGTTGACCTGGGACTCAGTTCAGGGGGAGGTCATAGCCAGGGCCTGAAACCGGTTCCGAATAAATCGTTTTAATTTAGGTAAAACCTGTTCTCTTGTAATGTTTCGTTCCGGATCGGAACTAAATGCGGAGTGAAATTCGGATGGATTAAAAACCGGTTATTTCGTAAAAATTCGCTTTGTTCGTAAAAAGCAATGAATTATATCATTTTTAAGCGACGACATTTATCATACCTGTGTACGGATTTTATAGATATGAGTATAGGCACTTAAAAACCGCGCTGAAGTTTGTGAGATCATTCTCTGGAGTCATATTTAAACCGGTTAATGACGAAAACCGTATTTCTAGTGAACCGGTTTAAAAACCTGTTCAAAGGAGCTTAACCTTTTATGTAAAGTTTCGCAAGTACTTACGTCAAACCGGTTCAAAAAATAAACCGGTTTCCAAGGCCTGGTCATAGCCTAGATGACGCCCCCTGGATCTGCTCTTGAGTTAATTTTTGATTTGTTTATCGCTTTAGTTCGGTACGCGAGGCTTGGATACGCGCCAAGTATGTGTCGCTGAGTTTTGTTCGCGACATAGTGAGTGCGGGTAGTTGTGTTAGCGGCGCCTCCGAATCGCCACTACGTAACGTAGGCCGATGGTCTGTACGACGAGCAAGACGCAGGTGGGTAAATTAATAGTTATGTTTAGTATTTATTTTAATTTAAATAAGCCATAAAAAAATTAACCATTAAATAAACATGTTTTGTTGCTTCAAAAAGTTATTTTATTGTACGGTGGTTTTAATTTTCAGAGTTCGAGCACCGCCAAATGTACCAGAGACTATTAGTGACGAGAAAAGTGACGTTAATAGCAATACCAGTGGTAAATGATTTCTTATTATATTAACACCAGTCAGCTGTCTTTTTAATATAGAATTTAATTTTATCCTAGCATTTTTGATATATAATATCACAATCTGCAAATAATTAAATAAAACTACTTTTAAATTGCTTTGTGGGATTTTATGAGTAATGTGCGTGAATAAAAAGTATATTTTGTAAAGAAAGCAATTCATTTCATAAAATAATTATATTTCGCTGCAGTGTCAGAGAGTTCAAGTAAATCAGAACCGGACAGTCCCGTTCTACTGATAGGAACTGAATTGGCGGCCGAACGAGCTGTGGATCTCAGTCTGCCTTCCGACCACGAGTCAACTGAAGGCGAGGACACGGATGATCTAGGTAAATCAACTCCGTTTTTATTCATGCAGCATTTTTCAATTTTTCATAGTGATAATCGAAAACCTCTAATTTGAGTACATAACTGAATCTTCCATATTCATTGTGATACAATAAAATTCTTGGAAGAGCTGATATCAGAAAATTTGACGAACTTGAAACAAAAGCTTTTTTTTTTAATCAACTGTCTGAACGTCTTGAATGCAAAAAACATTTTGTTTTTAAGGTTTACTTTATTCTAATCAAGTTCCAAGGGTCAGTCTTCTGTATTATTTATTAATGAGTTTGACTATACGTACGGAATGCTATAATATATATTTTTTTACTATAAATCGATTGACATTCGTCCTCAGAGACGACATTTTTGGTAGAAATTGCTACATTTTGCATGCTACATTGCATCTATGTTACCTGTAATATATGTTTATGTAAATGTTTATTGTGTGTTATAAAGTATACGTTCATTGTAAAATGACATTCACTAACCGAAGATATGAATTCCAACAGATACATTTTTATATAGACATATATAAATCGTTTTTTTCCAAAAAAATCTTGGAATAAATTAACAAACCAAGAGTTATTAAATTATTTTAACAATATTTTGGAGATTATTCGGGAATATAATTTATCTCTTGCATTTTGTGCTATCATTCTATTTTTGAAATGACGTCATGCGTATATTTCCGGCGCATTAGCAATTTTCGGAACTTATACAGTCCTATTAACAAACAAGCTTTAGCGTCAGAGTTAATTTACGCTAAAATTTCAATTTCACGTCTAAATTTGTCATCATATCAACCGAGAGACGCGCACTGCTGAGCATAGGCCTCCACCAAAGATCTCCAACGTGATCGGTCCTGCGCCTCCCGCATCCAGCGGCTTCCCGCGACCTTCACACTCAAATCGAAAAATTCGAATTACAAATTCAAAGACGATTCTATAAATAAGCACTTTATAAACGCATATACATAAAATTAAAAATAAAACTCATTATAGTACCGCCAACTGTATCATAAAACTCATTATAGTACCGCTATCTTTTTTTATTCATGAAACTAGTCTATGGTTTTAGGTTGAATATGAAAAAAATGGCGCACGCATACGTAGTTTGAACTTAATTTTGCGCGCTTTCCATACATTAAACAAATTTAAATTTTTTTCTATCAGTGAAGATAAAGTAATGTATGAAACTGCACATAACTTAGGTATTAAAACACTCGAGTCAACTTTTATCGCATTCGGCTTCGCCCCATGCGATAAACAGACTCGTATTTTAATATCCCTTCTTTTATGACAGTTGCATAATCTACATTATGGTACGGTACTATAATGAGTTTTATTTTTAATTTTATGTACGAGGGTCAAACTGAAAGTTCTTAGAACTGGCCACTTATAAACAATATAATAAAAAAATAATTCTAAAATTTGAAAATATAACTCTTTGCCAATATTACTGAGTATATATTTCATTCATTTGTCATTTGTTTTACGATTTGGCGGCAAATTGAAAATTGTCTGTGTCACGTCATCATGAATTTAACACGAGAAAATTTTCGTGCAATGATTTTTTATGACTTTCGATGTCATTTAAGTCAACAAGAAAGTTATGATAGACTACGATTGGCCTTTCACGATGAAGCCCCATCTCGTGCGACTGTTTACAACTGGTTTAATGAGTTTAAACGTGGTCGCACTAATCTCACTGATGACGTGAGGGACGGCCTTCTACGGCGACGACTGAAGATAACATCTGTGTTGTGCGGCGTATGATAGAGACTGACAAAAGAGTGACCTATCAACAGATTCGGACAAGCTTAGGCATCGGTATGAGTCAAGTGCACAAAATCCTCCACGAACATTTAGCGGTCAGGAAGCTTTGCGCCCGGTGGATACCTCATAATTTGACTGAGGCTCAAAAACTCCATCGTGTGGATTGGTGTCGTAAAATGATTGAAAGATTTAACGGAGGTGACTCAAATGCTGTGTTCGACATACTAACAGGTGACGAAAGCTGGATTTACTGTTATGATCCTAAAACCAAAAGACAATCTGCTCAGTGGGTGTTTCCTTTCGAGGAGTTGCCAACTAAAGTGAAGAGAGATCGAAGTGCGGGAAAAAAAATGGTGGCCTCGTTCTTTGGAAGGATAAGTCATTTTGCAACAATTGTGTTAGTGGATCAAAAAACAGTTTCTGCAGAATGGTACACTACCAATTGTTTGCCACTTGTCTTGGAAAAAGTTCGAGAGAAACGACCTCGCAGTAGGATCCTCCTTCACCACGACAACGCCTCGTCGCACACCGCCAAGCGAACGATCGACTATTTGGCGACATCAAACGTTGAATTACTGGGTCACCCGCCGTATAGCCCCGACCTCGCGCCTTGTGATTTTTATTTATTTCCAAAAATTAAAGAAAAACTTAAAGGAAAGCGGTTTATGAATGCTGAAGAAGCGGTGGCTGCGTATCGCGATGCCATTGAAGAGACCCCTAAGGACGAGTGGGCAAAGTGCTTTTCCCAGTGGTTCCATCGCATGCAGCGGTGTATTGACGTGAATGGACAATATTTTGAAAAGATATAATAAAACTAATAACTGGCTAATGTAATCAGTTTTTGATTTTCTAAGAACTTTCAGTTTGACCCTCGTATATGCGTTTATAAAGTGCGTATGTATAGAATCCTCTTTGAATAGGGATGACGACCAATTTTTGTTTGTTTGTCCGTCAGGTAGAGTGTTAAAAAATATTAAACACGTATTTTTTTTAATTTTTTCGTAATCATAAAATAACGGTTATGCATGGAATTGAAATTTCGCATGACGTCACGTTAAAGTACGTTTTCTACTCAACTGTGACGTAGCGAGGCCCCACTCCTCAACTTTAATGCCTGTTATCTAAGCTATTTCTTGTTAAATTGAAGTAAAAAAAAAAATACGTATCTAATATTTTTCTATTATCTGACTAACGGACTAAATAGAATTGCACTTTTTTTTACCCAGTCGTCATCCCTATTCGTAATTCGAATTTTTCGATTTGAGCGTAGATAAAGGATTTTTCATGAATGAATGAAACGCAGCGGAGGAGATGTGCTGCCTGTCGGCGGGCGCGGTGCTGTGCCGCGCGGCGCGCGCCCACAACGTGGCGGTGATGCGCGCCGCGCTCGCCGCCGCCGCCGACGTGAACGCGCAGCAGCACCGCCGCCGGGCGCCGCTGCACGCCGCCGTGCTCAGCGTTAGTATCGCTGCATCACTGCATAGTATAAAACAAAGTCGCTTTCTCTGTCCCCTATATACATATGTATACTTAAATCTTTATTTTTATAAGGTAATGCTATTAATTCATCGTCATCATCATCACCAGCCCTTTTACGTCCTAGGGGCTCAGGCCTTCCTTATAGATGGTTAAAGAGCATGGGCCATAACCCTCCACGCTGGCCCAAAGCGGATTGGAGGGTATTAATGACTGCAAATGCAGCCGGGACCAACGGCTTAACGTGCCTTCCGAAGCATGAAGTAGCTCGAGATAATAATTTTTTGGTCACCCATACCGTGGCCGACCCTTGCGAAAGTTGCTTAACGACAACGATCGTGGGCCGCGGCGTTTATACACTACGCCACCGAGCTACACTGCTATTAATTAGCATGGGTAAAATAAACGCGTTGATAAGGATTAATAGCATGAGTAGAATAAATGCGTTTAAATGCAGTCCAAAAAAAAATTAAAGATTTTTAAATAAAAATAGTTGTTGTGTCTCACTCGACATAGATAGGTATAGTGTGTCGCGGACATTTTTGTAGATATTTATAAGACCTACAATTAATAAGAACATTTTATGGTTCTATCTTTTATAGTTTAGGCAGTGTACGCAAAATAAGTAACTTTTCTGGTTTATTTTTCACATCTCGTGTCCGAAAAACCTAAATATATTACAGAACCCTATTTTTACCCAAAATAAAATATAGCCTATGTTTATCGTGGATAATGTAGCTTTCGATAGTGAAAGAATTTTTTAAATCGGTCCAATAGTTTATAATATTAGAGTATATATAAGAACACGCAGGCTAAGCCGCTGGCGGAAAGTTAGTCACAGTATAAATATTTTGCATTAATAATAAAACAATGATATTTTGGAAAACATTACTATTGAGTTCGGACATTTACATAATGGAATTGATTAGATTCAATTATTCGAAATATATGCTGTCCTTTGCATGTAAAGAAAAACTGATGGAGTACCAGTCCTTACATTTTTTTGCTCCATTAGCCTAATGCCCGTTTTCACTAAACTTAGAGATGTGAAAATGCGTTTCACCAAGGAACCACCTAAGGACGTTAAGCGACGTTTAAAGTTAGGAAATTTATTGTGAGGCACCTAGCGCTGGGCATTTGCGTAATGTGACATATATTTTTACTCTTTGGCCATAGCAGATGTGTCAAGAGATAATATCAATTTAATGAGTTGGAATCAAGGAGTTTATGTATTAGAATCCTATTAATATGATAAATGTGAAAGTTTCTTTGTTTGGATATTTTGATATTGAGATGTTTGGATGTTTGTCCGTTAATCACGCCGAAACTACTGAACGGATTTTGATTAAAGGAGAATGCCAAAATACGGCTTGTCGCCGACAAGCAATACATTATCATTGCAATTTATATTTTATAATACTTTAAATTATCAACTATTAATTGATTTAAAAAAAGCACACCGTTACGAGTAATTTTCGTAAAGTTAATCAACGACTATTACGTGAAAAGTACGCCATTTACAAAAAAATTGCCAGTAAAAAGTTAAAATGACTAATATGTCGAAAATCGATAATCGTTATGAATTAATCAATAGTTGTGAAAGTGAATAAAAGTACAATAAATACGCCATGTTATAATATTTTTCTCTTTGGTACTGCACAAAAATATTTTTCCTTATTATTTCACATAACTATAATTAGTAAAGATATAATAATCATACTATAACATATAATTTATTATTTATTAACAATCGATATTAATCGATTGAAAACAATTTAACATCTGTTAATGGCAACACTTTTTTTAATTGTCATAGTCATTAATAAACATTACATTTGCGGTACAATTCGTTCACTTTGTTGTTCAGTGCTTTTCTATTGTATTCGTTTTTATTCTATCTATTTACCCGGTTTCGAACTTGAATCTGAAACTTCTTAATTATTGAACCGGCTTTTAACTATGACCAGAATCTGTTTTACATGTTGAATCGGCTTTTAACTTGGACTGAACCTGTTATTCTCGTCGACTCGGCTTATTCGTAGTTAGACGTAAGTATTTCGATGCATGTACGACTAAAATGCTGTGGGTATTTACATATCAACATAGATCACTAAAAACATTTATATTAACCCTTACATTTTACCTACAGATACCAAGCAACAGTGTGGTGTGTCTTGAGTGTTGGTTGTTACTATAAATGAAGTACCTGAAATAAGTCAATCACGTATTGGTAATGAAAATGTATGTATACATTGTGGAAGATCTTTAATATTGTATAAGAACTCGTATGTTAACAATACTGACAAAAGATCTGTTGTTGCGAAAAGGATTATGCCACAACAAGTAAGTAGAAACAACATTCATTTAATTATAATAAATAAGTTATAGTAATAATTTGACAATTATAATGTACCATTATATTATGCTTATGCTTTCTATGGAATGCAAAACATCTAAACAAACCGAGCATGTAATTAACTATAGATAGTATTTAAAAACTAATGGGATGGTGTCTGTACTTTAAAAATATTTATATAAAATCAAACCCAAATGATGACCTCTGTGGCAGAGTGGTGTCTACACAGAACTTAAGGTTGCGGCACCTCAAGAGGTTCTGGGTTCGAACCATGGTTGGGGCGTTTATTTGTGTGATGAACACAAATATTTGTACCTGAATCGTGGTTGTATCATCCATTATTCTATGTGTTTTTTAGTTGTCATAGTATGAGATTTATTAGTTTTGCACTAAATAATTGTTGTGAGCTGTCACAAATATTATGTATTTTGATTTCAATTGGGTTTTTACCTGGGTCGAAATTAAAATCTAAACTATTTTTTATCTAGAATAAATGCTATAAACATTGAAGGAAATGTGAAGGAATTATGTAACAATATTTCTAATGATTTTATTTCTTTTCAGCTCCGATCATCAGACAGAATTTGTCACCCTTGTTGGCAAAAGTGTAATAGTTTATTTGTAAATTATACTGCACCATCTTCATTATCTGCAAGTTCTACATCTTCTCAAGAATTGCCAATTCATGAGCTGGAGCACTTTAATGATGATAACATTATATCAGTCTCGAATTCCAGGGAAAATACTCGCAAGTGTATCTACAATAATTTTGGTGGGGCGTAGAACTGTATGTTGCTGTGCTCACATAATGACGATCATTTGGTATTCAGGATGGGCTAGATATCAGTCAAATATGGAAGCCAGCACAGTTTTTAGATAATTTTTTACAACTAAAAATTGATACAACTGATAATAAAAAATATTTATCTTTACATGTTTTTTAATTTACAGATCCTTTTTATGACTTAAAAAGTTTCGTCCTTTACCTTAAATCCATAAATGTATATAAATAGGCTGTTGTAATGAAAAACAACGTAGAAAATTGTTGAAAAAAACAAAAACTTTTTTGAATATAACTTTTTTTGGTGAGCTTTTATTAAAGATATAATGTGCATATAATTTTCTATATTTTTTCCCCTTTCTTATAATATAACACTCTTGTCTGTCGGTTCTGGCCGAAGTTTCTATGGAAGCTTGGCATTGTCCTTTGGTATACAGATAGGGTATTAGCTGACTTAGAAAAATAAGATACGTTTTATCCCACTTAACATTTCCCTAGGGTCAATGCGGGCGAAGCCGCTGGCGAAAGCTAGTTAAGATATAAACTATGAGATTTTGAATTTTCGAACTTTTTTGTATATGGACAATGCCGACTCGGGTGCTCGTGTAAATACAAAACCACGTATAATTTTCTTATTTTGTTACCTCAAAACATATATTTCTGTTATTGTCTCTTAACGTATAAAGGCGTCTAACTTGACATTGGCGAAATTGTGTAAACGCAAATTGGCCATACTTAAAAAAAAGAAGAAGAACTGAAGCATGCAAAATCATAGACAAACATTCCCTATTCTACCTAGGCAAGTGCTCAGTAAGGTATTACCTAACGTTACGAGTTTGGTGCATCGACAAATCTTTATTAAGTGATTTATGCCTTGTTCTAGGTAAATGAAAACGGGAATAAATGTTAAATAGACCTTAATTTATTATTATATTTCAGGGTTCAGTGATGGCTTGTTCGTTCTTGTTACTCAATGGCAGTAAGTTGAATATGCAAGATGATGATGGGAAAACTCCACTCCATCTCGCAACAGAAGCTGGGCATACAGGACAGGTAACCTAGATGTTCTTATTTCGTAAAACAACATTTCTTCATTATTTTTATTTCATATCACTAACATTAAATACAAATTCAAATAACTGGTTTAAACTATTATGCTATGAAACTTTCACAGTCTTATTATTAAACGAAGATAATTTTTATATCAGGTTTAAACCATTAACCGACCAAATTAAGTCAACACATTTCAATTAGATCTTAAACAATGTCCTCTTAGTTGACCACAAACACCGTACAGTAGATTTTTTGTAGTTCATTGTAGATGTTATAGTTTGTTGAGATGGAGACCAAGAAAAGAACTGCGTTGTAAAATGTTATTAAGTTTCACTATAAAAGTGAAGTTACAGTTAAAGTTGAGTATCGTAGATGAGTCTGTTCTCAGTGCTAGCTGATAGTGATCTCTCTTAACCTAAAACAAATTAAAGTTAACTACGTTGATGACGCTTGAACTACAAATCATTACACGTGACTACACAAGAATGTACAGTGTGAGACTGTACTAATCTCTCTTGTAATTGTCAATTAGCTTTAGGCGGGTAATGGTTTAAACAAAGTAGTAATTATAAAAACTTCGTTTTATAATAATATGGTCAAAGATCAGCAAAAGTTTTCGTCGTGTTACCATTTAAATATCATAAATATAATAATACGGTACGCGTATGCGATTGCGTTATTATTATATAATTCACCTTATAAACACGACATAAAGCTTATATTTCAATGTTTGACTGAAGTCTTGAGTTGAATCTGTGACAAATCTAAAGTGTTAAATGTAATTTTTGGAAAAGGTATGTTTGCTACTTCGGTACCGCGCGGACCAGTCTATTGTTGACAATGAGGGGCGTACGCCTCTCGATATAGCCGTTGAAAACGCCAATGCTGATATTGTTACATTGTAAGTATACTCTACAATTACTATTATAAATAAGGATGATGACTAATTTTTATTTGTTTGTCCGTCAGGTAGATTATTGAACGTGACACGCAATTTTTATTTTTTGCGTAATCAATAAATTACGTTGATATATTGAGTTGATATGTCGCATGATGTCACGCTTTTGTACATTTTCCCACTCCTTAACTTTAATGCCTATTATCTAAGCCATTTCTTATTAAATAGAGGTGTAGAGCTTTATTTAATATGTTTATTTTAAAGATTTACATGAAATACCTATATCTAAAAAAATATTTAAAAAAAAGTATCATTCATATGAGTTTAATTAGTATTCATATAATTTAAAATCTAAAAAACATTGTTTTTAAAATTTCCCGCTACAACGCCACTTCTGTCATGGCGTCGCTATGACGTCACGGCCGGCTGAAACGAATATCGTTCTATGTGTATGCATAAGTTTTAATTCTATATAGTATATAAGTATGAGGGGCGTGACGTCACACGCTGTTTGCGGTCACGTGACGACGAGTATAACTTTTTGATTTTTCATAATTAATTTAAGCAATATTGTTAATATAATAAGTATAAAAGTGTGATTATCTGTAATAGCTATGCTAAGTTATCGGTAAACGCTACCAGAAAAAAGATAATGTGTATTTATTTTCGTTTACTGTCTACACGTAAATACGTATCATATATTTATCTATCTGCCGGACTAAATAGAATTTATATTTTTTTACCCAGTCATCATCCCTATTATGGAAATTATTCAATCTTTTTTGGAAAAGAAAGACACAGATATCTGTGGACTATAACATATTCAAAAAAATTTTTATGATTATGCGTAAGTTATGGTATTGCAATACATCAAGAAACGTGAAAATACGAAATTCAGCTATAAAGAGGTCTAAAACTTGTTCGGAATATTATTTAATAAAATATATTTTTCACATTTTTTTCTCTTTAATGTCTTTATTTAATATCTTAAAACTTTGTTAAGGTAACACTGTTGAGGCCTTTTTATAGAAGTATACACTTACTTAGAACAGGCCATCCTTACCATCAGATGTTTGGTCCGATCCCTTAGAGTTGTAAAAATGAACAGAAGTAAAAACTAAGGGATTTCTTACTATTTTACTTAAATGTAAAAAAAATGTTTTATTTACTTTAACAGTTTTGCTTGCTGCAATGCCTATTCTTATTGCTGGTTTACACGTATTAATAATAATAATAATAATAATAATAATAATAATAATAAATATTCTTTATTGCACAATAGAAAAGAGACAAATACGCAAAAATCTTACACAAACATAGTACAATAGGCGGCCTTATTACTTAATAGCGATTTCTGCCAGGAAACCTAACAATGTACGGAAATTCAACGAAGTACAATCAAATTATTAGCATATAGTGCAAAGTAATTACACAGACAAACAAAACAAAAGTGAGCATATGTTGAAATGACAAAACGAATAGGTGTTAATTTAATTAGGTATTAAGTTAGATAACTTAATATTATAATGGCTGGTAATCACACAGAATCACTGAAAATAAAGTTAACAATTTAGTTTACTACTTATCAGCTTAATACGTGTAAACCGGTCATTAAAAATGCTTTGGTTGCGTTCAGATTGCGACTGACAAAGTTGAATGAGGAGATGCGCGAAAGCGAGATGTCATCCAACGACGATACGTACAACGAAGTGTTCCGCGACTACACGCAGCTCGCACACTCGCACCCCGAGCGACTCCTGCGCAGGCATAACAACAACGAAGGTAAACAACACGGTAACGCATTGTTATATGCCTTATGTGTCAGGTCAGGTTATATAAAACTAATGTTAACCAAATAGATTTAAAAATTTTAATTATACCTCTCGAATTCATAATAGAGAATATGCGTCTGATTAAAAATTAGTTATATATATTTTATTACAATCTTTGTTGCTTTAGAATAAAGTCTATCTAAATATTTTTCAACATTAGTTCGTTTTCGTCTTGAAAATAAGTGCAAAATAAATGCGGTAACTTCAAAATATTTAAACGCCATGCTACTTGTCAGAGCGGATGTGACGAAAATGTACACGTACAGGGATGTCGTTATTACAAAAAAATTAACATCGATGCAATAACAGCTATGTATTATGTCGCAAAATAAACAACTGATTGCAATTTAACTGATGTTTTAGGCTTTTATTTTTATTTCACCAATATGGTAAATTATATGATTTATTAAAAAAGTCTATTATACTTTAAAATCGATTAGTTGTTAATCGATTTGGGTAATTGAATAATAATCAATCACTCAAAATCCATATTGATTTATAATGTCATATCTCTAGTCGTGTACTTTGACGTCACGACAAGCGCGCCAAAAATTCCGGTGTTTAACCCGTCACGCGATTAAGTCACAAAACGCACTTGAATTAATGCAACAAGCGCGTCACGAATAGGATACGTGATGTAATGTCTTACATACTGTTCCTACATACAATTATAGTCTATGTCGACTGCATATGATTTAGCTTCTCGTAGGTGAAATAATTGTCATGTTTCGGATCGGTATTTTTAAAGATTAGCTCTTATAAACATAGAAACTTTTTCATAGTATTTAGTGTAGAAAAAAAACTCTTTTTTGTAGGTGAACAACCGAACGAATGACGAAGAGACACTGGTACGAAGCGACGATGGCTGTGGTGATAAGATACTGACACTTGACAACCTGAACTGAAGTATGCAAGGTAGATTTTATTATGCTTTTATAATAGGCCATCTAAAAGTATCGTTATGTATTCATAATTATTCAAGGTAATCTCAAATTATAGAATGTTTTTCATGTCTGTATATAAAGAAAAGATGAGCTGTTTATGTATGGCACCTTTTCTAGGTTATTGGGAATTTATTAAATCATGCCATTGTTTGTTATTGACTATCTCATTGTGATTATAACCAAACGAATTATTATATTTTTTGTTGTAAATATGAGCAGTGATTGATATTAATTCAAAACTCTGAAGTGCGACTTCCATTTTTATTATATATTTACTAAAACAAAAGGAATATTTGGACGTATTATTTGATTTGGTGACGCATTACTAATACTACATACCTTTATTAAAAAAAAAAGGTTACGCATCTGTGAGATTTGGACGCATGGAAATACCACCAGATAGACTTATATTGGTTGAATTAATTTCTTTGTCAACAGTATTATGTCAAAATTTATTATTAATTATGAATAAATTATTTGTGGCACTGATCTCTAATTTTACTAAAAGTTTTCGGATGATTGTCTAAAGGCTATATTTAATTGTGTTGCATAGGCGAAGCGGTAAAGGTACCATTGGAATATCAACTAAAGTAACATTAAAATAAGTTTTGTTAATGATGATTTTGTAAAAATTCCAACCGTGATGTCTCACTATACTATTGATGTGGTAGTACGATACTATTCCGGATTATAATTTAATATTTTTATTCAATATTTATGAAAACCGCTTCTGTCTATTTTATTTATTACCAGTAAATTACAAAGTTTTGTGATATTACTTTTGTAATGTCTGATATTTGGTTTTGTTCCTTAATTCCGGATACTTTTACTTTATTGTTATTCTATACTAATGAAGTCAATCTTATGAATGCTCAAAGATCTTGAGGCCTTATTTGCGAACAAAATGTACTCACATATGATACTATTGTGTCATTATATAATATCCCCGTTGTCTGTTAATATTATGTATGTAAACCAAAGATTACAAGTATTGGTACTATGGGAATGTATTGTTAACGTTATATATTATAGTTACATTATTATTAGTGTAGTGTTTATTACATATTTGTACGTTTTAGAAGTGTTGATTGATTGAATTCAATGTGTATCGCTTTAATGTTAAATAACTATATAAGTGGGGAGGCATTTTTTTTGTGGTTAACAATGAGTTTTTTTTTATTAAAAAGTTATCTAAATTTATTATTTAAATTTTTAGATATGTCTGTATTAAATTGGATATAGCATTCGTATAACTTCACATTATGAGAAAATATAAGTCTTTCAGTGATAAAATATTTGGTTTCATGATATCGGCTGATACATTATAATTATTTGGAGTGGATCAACTAGAAGTTACCTACTTATATGTATTAGTTATTTAAATAATTCCATATAATAGCGGGAAAGTTAATCAACATTCCAAAATAAAATTTGTCGGATAAACTTTAAAACTATTCCTACTAATTATGCATTTTATAGACTTAAATATTGATAAATAAAATTTGTCAAACGAATTGGTCTATTCAAATGAATCTCGAAATTATTTTGTAAGCTTACTAATTTTAATTTTAAGTATATAAAATTATATACAGTTACTTGCATTGCATATAAATTTGAGCTTTAACGAAGTTTGAAGTTATTCCTACTTGCCAATTTTTGAATTAAACCAATTTTTTAAATTAAATTATTGTATAAGCATATACCTAAATGTATTACAATTTTTCTACTCGACAATTTTATCGAAATCAATCTATATCACAGTTATGAATAAAAGTTTTTTTGATGAATTTATATTATAAGTACGCTAGATAGTCCTTCAAGATAAGATAATTATTATTTTATAATTACTTTGAATATTAAACATTCAAAGAATTGTGTTATTGGATTTGTGTGATGTTAATTTTGTAACACCAATATTATCTGTCATTTGCTTTTCGTATACTCTATAAAAATATCTAAGCCTTTTATAGCATTATTTGTTACTAAAATTAGCATATAGAGTACCTATAGAGTGCCATTGCCAGAAGGCACATATGTAGGTTATACCACATATACATACAAGTGTAACGATGTATGTATGTAATGATAATTAAATATCAAATTTAAATCAGTACCTAATCAAGATTATAATCGAAACGAATTTGACAGATTAATTTATAGACACAAAGTATACAAATACTCTGTAACTGTTGTTGTAATATCGATGTATTCATTAAAAAGTAGATTTATTGTAATAAAACTTATTAAAATTCATGTGGATCATTTATTTTAGAAATAAGACAACAACTTGATGCTCAAGAATTTATTTAAAGAACAAAGGATATATATATATATATATATATAAACCAACACCTGGAAGGAAGATTTTTCATTGGTAAAACAGCTCATGTTGGATTGAATTATAAATTTATCAGCCGAAGTTAAAAAAATATAATGGATTACATAGTGGAATTATGTTGATGTATTAAGTAATTGATAATTGAATGAATTCATCACTAATAAACAATAAATTCATTAATTTAGAATTGAAATGATTGAATTGTATTGAAGCAGAATCGATGACTAATTAAATAAAACTTCCTCTATGTGGACCGATTTAAAACCCAATGAAAAATTTATAAACGAGAATAATATAAGTAAATGTGGTAGTCAGTTACAGATTCAGTCGAGCGGGAACTATTCAAACATTATATGACCAGCATACTTGTGTTTGAATAACGGAGCTGACCATTTGCGCCATGTACTATTCGCTTTTCTACCGCAACGTAGTAAAGCGAACTGATACGATATGCGCACGAGTCTGTAAATCACCCACCGATAAAGAGTAATATTTGTCACCAAACAATTATGTTAGGGTGATATTTTTATATTAGTAAACACAAAGGTTTTAGGCTCTATTCAAGGTCGATTGAAACCGGTTAGTAAAAATCGCTTATCTATAAATAATAAATCGGAGTCCAATATTAATTATCATGGTATAGTTGCAGTCTACGTTACAAAAAAAAAATGTACATGTACATTGGAAGCCCACTTCAATTAAAAACTACAAAAATGTGAACGTGTACACGGATTAAATATAAACGATATTATACTGTAGTACTACTGATATTTTTAATAGGATTTTCTATAGATAAATTGAACAAATTTTCCAAAGAAACTTAAAAAAATAGCTCGTGGGAAACTAAACCTATTCATTTATTATTTACTATAATCAGTCATACAAAAGTTTCTTAAACTGTTGATGATAGTGTAACGTAGTCTACAAGAATTTAAAAGGTAAGGTGGTTAATTCATTCCGAAAGTAGACCACAGTGCGGTGTGTGATAGGGGCGTGGCAGCGGGTGAGGGCGATGGTGCGGGGGGGACGGTGGGCCGCGCCCCCAGCACTAGCGACGCTGAGGGGGGGACGCGGCGGCGGGCTGCCAGCCCACCCGAACGGTCAGAACCTACAAATTACAGTCAAAATTAAAAATAAGCTCAATTCAAATTACTGAAAACTAGCTTTCCGTCAGCGGCTTCGCCTGCGTATTCTAGGGAACCGTTTAGTGTGCATAAAATTATTTGCCGTTTTTCGGCATAAAATATAGCATATGTTCATCGCATATGATGTAGCTTCCCGTAGGTTTTATTTAATTTTTTAAATTGATCCGGTAGTTTCTGTTAGATGACCTGGCGTACATCGTAACACCTGTCACTATTTAAATCTTCCATGGACTACGGCAAACATTTAAGCAATCGATTCTTATATACAGGTATAGATAGATAGAAAATAGATATAGTTAGACTGACGTCTAATAAGGCCCACTGTTTACGGCAAACATTTCAAATCTAAAATCGGCCCGGCCGATCTCGAGTTTTAGCAATTCAAATGAACAGCAATCGATTTTATATACAGCTATAGATAGATAGAAACTAGATATAGTTAGACTGTTTAATAAGGCCCACTGTTTATAACCACATGATGTGTAGTATGATGAACTCGAAAACGTTTTGTCTATACCAAAATGTTACTTTTCTTGGGTGCGCCCATATGATATCTCACTCTCGACCCGAGAAAAGTGACGCTTCATGTAGACAAAGTGTTTCTCGAGTTTGTCATGCTACGTGTGTTGGAGTGTTAAGCTAATAGCGTCCGACCGAAGGTCTATTTTTGGCCGAAGCCGAAGTCGATTACCCGGCTACCGCCACAACCTTCGGCAGAAGCCGAAGCCGAAGGTTTATAATCTCTCAGTAATAATTTTTTTTCAATATTGTCTACAAGCAACAATTAATTTTTTTTGGCCGTAGGTGGCAGTTGCCTCTTTGGCTGTGGGTGAAGTAGACTTATTGGTGCTAAAAGAAAAAGTTTATCTCGACTTGCCTGTGTCGGCATTTTCAGGGCAATACTTGATAGTATGCGCGCGGTCTCCTGTAGCTCCGCAGCGAGGGCAACGGAATGCTCTCAGAACTGGGCACAGAACTCGTCCGCGCCAGTCCTTGAGCGCGTGCGATGAATAACACTCCTCGTTCTCGCCGTTATTCTTACAGAACGCACATTCCTGTCCAAGGCAAAGTGGTTGTTCGAAATTAATAAACATTGGTCAACATCTTCGTTAGAACTTTCTAATATGAACAAAAAACAAGAATTTAAAAAGGATCGAAATTTCAGTAGGCTGAGGAACCTTTCTATGAACATATGTAATAAAAGAGACTGCAATGAGAATTTAATTTAGCCAAGCCATAATGTAGCTTATTTCCATTATTTTTTTATTCGATTTTGGCAGTCGTGTTTTTAAATTAATTTTTAAAAGTAAATACTACCTATACCACTACCCTATGAGATATTAATAGTTAAAAAAATAGTAATGCTATACATGCTTTCCTAACAAAATTGATATTTATAAGAAAGTTATCAAGAGGCATATGATATCTTTGTCAGTAAACCATTAGCTGCAAATTCTTTTTGGGATTCGAACTTGTGATCAAAGTCATAATTATTTTGGAATGCTGGTTATTATCCCCAATCTATCACAGATTGCACAGTGTATTTTTCATTATACATATTGTTTTATAAATCTCAAATTATTTGCCGCTGTAATGTCGTACAATCGACAGCACCGGTCGACTGTTTATTACATAAGGCCTATTTTGAAACGATTGTTTTGCCTTGTAAATCGTTTGATAGTGGAGTCAAGAATTACTTGCAATAGTTTGGTCCTTTATAATACCTAGCTACACTAGTATTCAGCGTTTTGATATTATCCTTATTAATATCCTATCCATCAGAGTATTAAAAGTTAGTAACTTACGTTAGGAAGAGCGCGACGCATACGCTTATCACTGCGCACCTTCGCAACCTCCTGCAGAAATTCATAGAGAAGGCTCGGACGAATGGAACGCAACACCGACAGTTGCTCGCGCGTCAGCATCGATACATAGTTGTTGGCCGACGATAGACCTACGCATATCGTGATGTCATTAACAAGGCTTCTTCTTTTATTAATGGCTAATCTGCGCATTTCGCACAATTCTGCCAATGTCAAGTGAATAAATTAATTTCTACATGTAAAATGAAACTAATGAAAGAATTGTCAATACTGACGGAAGTACCGTCGGGTATCATCGGCAGCGTTACTTCAGAACCAAGGTGTCTTCTTGGTCAGAACTGACAATAAAGACGATGACAGATTTATGTTTGTGTGTCCATCGGGTAGATTATTAAAAAAACACGCATTATTTTTCCCTTAATAAATATTTCGGATTAACATTTTTAGAGTTCCGTATTTGAAAAGGAAGTCGAGCCACTCACGGAGGTATGCGTTAAGTGGGGGATTCACTAGACGTGCCTACCCGCGGGTAAGACTGCAGATATGACCTCGCTGCTGTAGGTCCTTATAATAACTGCGATGGTCCTAAGCTAGCCAAACAATAGTAGCGAGGTCCGGCGTATGCACGTCTAATGATTTCCGCACTTTTGTACGCAACAGATCATCCATCGAGTGTGCAAGGTTGCATTTCATGTTTTGACGTTCTGTGACCGACGCCACCCATTTTCAGTCAATATGGACCGATCCTAAAACGGAACTAAGTACTGTAAGATACCACGCGTGTTTATTCGACCATCAGTCTATTATGAAAGTACTGAACCAAAAGATGTAATTTGGTCCATATAAGGTACCTGTGGCCATAAATAACCTCGTTGAATAAGGCTCGCCGTTGAAATTTCATTCTAAAATGAGTTCGTTATTTATTTATTTATTTAGTCTTGTTCAAACTACTCACACATGCACATACTTAATAAAAAAAATCAGATTGACATGCAAAATAAACATGAATTAATATGGGGTTACTATTGGGGTGTACGTTGAGGCTGTGTGACATACCAGTTGAAAGTTTGAAGGTTTTGAATGAAAAAATGATAATTTTTCAAAATTCTTAATTAGCCAAAAATTCAAATGACAGATGTTTACAGTTTTGTATTTGTTTCGTAAAGTATTTCCCTATAAGCAATGGCAGATTCAGCCTTAAGTCAGGAGGTCACAAAATCGAGCTTGAATCAGGGATAATGAATAATAATAAACTCATACATACATCATACACATATCAAGTGACACCGGTTCAGAGAGGTCATAAATTATATCATATATTTATGATATAATATTATAAAACATGATTGATTTCCTTTAACCATAAAGTTCACTATCACGGCCATGTTATTTGCATTTTCAAGTATCACAAATCATTTATAAGTTACGGGTAATTACTTACTTTTAATGAGAAAATCAAAAGTATCAAGCATTTCCCCATTTCTGCCAGTTGTCATAGAGTTATCGTTCCATAAATTGGGATTAGACGTAGCCACGGACTCTGACCTGCCGTTACCTGCGCCATTAAAGAACATTGATAAGTAATAAAAATATTTAAAAAAAAAACAAATTTTTATTATGAAAATTGCTTAAAATTCCCACTTTAACCTTGGCACTCTGAGATGGGACTGCAACATATTATGTGTATGTTTATTTAAACAAGTTTTTGTGCGCACTAAAACGTAAATAAATAAATTCTAAACATATAAAGTACAATACTTATAAACAATTTTTTTAACAGTAATTGACTTTATAAGCTTGTGGTCTGGAAACCATCCAGTACCAAAGTCCACATAAAGAGGGATCTAACGAGCCCAAACGCGACGCATTTGCGTCATTTAATTACAAGTTCATACGAACGCCTTCCGACACATTGCATTGTCATCTGACTTACATGTCTATACAAAATTTCATATTGGGAAGTGAGTCAAATTTGAGTTCCAAGATTTGCGCACTAACAAACATACTATGTAAACAAGGCAAGATATATAAACGCTAAAAGCTTCTGAAAAGCTTATAGGATCAATATTTTTAGTTTAGTGTGTATGTGACGTTGGATACACCATTTCAAATGGCAAAGAATACAAAAAAAAACCAGAAAAATGAATTACTGAAAACTTTTTTTACAACGAAATAAAATCTTTTTTGAAATGTAGAAGATGTACAATAAGGAAACCTACTGCAGCTTATGTAGTTGACATAGTACAAGAATTTACGATAAATAAGTGCTTAAAAGTTTCTGTGAAAGAAAACTCACCCATGAAATAATTTTGAGGGTTGTGTTCGATATCATCGAAAAGGAGGTCAGATCCATTCATACGGAAGTTCATCATAACATCGTCCATGTCGCTCGTAGCTGGAGCTGTGAAATCAATTGATGAGATAATAAATTAATATTAGACAACATGACACTGTTCAAATTCCAAAATAAATACTATTCGTACGAAATAGAATCAGGGCCTCAGGTGTTATGCTACACCTGAGGCCATATTCTATTTTTCGTCGAACGAAAATTCGGAAAATTTCAAATCGTTCTTATAATTTTGTTAAAATCATATCCATGGAGGTTGTCGGTGCATCAGAGGCAGTGTCAGGTCCTACCTCCTTTTCATTATAAATTATCGGAAATTGCGTTTCTTTGGAATTGTTTTAGCATTTCGAAAATTGATGAAATTTCGTTTTCGGAGAAATAGAATGGGTCGTTAGGTGTCATGTTAATTCGTTCGAGTAGTATTAATTTTATGGCGAGTTTTGATACGGGCAAACGAATTAGTAACCGAATTCTCTTACAGAATTATCGATCGCCTGTAAAATTTTCATAAAATACATTTTATTTGGCAAAGAGTAGCTCGGTAGTGTAATGAATAAGCGGCGCGGCCCGCGATATTTGTTGTTAAGCAACTTTCGCAAGGATCAGTCACCGTGCTTCGGAAGTCACGTTAAGTCATTGTTTCCGGCTGCATTTTCAGTCGTTCATCTTCCTTAACCATCCATAAGGAAGTCTTGAATGGAGTCCTCTGCAATATGGACGTAATAGGGCTGATGCTTATGGCAAATATTAGAATATCCTAAGAATAAAACTTGTTTAAAAAGAGGTGATTTCGTAAACCCTCGCCTAACTGTCCTTACTGGCGAGACTTGGAGTCAACAAATAGTAAACATCGATGTCACTTTTATGCCGAGACCGTACTCATTTAAACGCAAGTCTGAAATTACAACAAATGTAACACATCAGACTGAAAATGCAAGCCGTACTCTTTCTTTCACTCGCACCCGCACCAAGCGGTTCGCCTCTACTCGCTGTTTTCGATAAATACAATCTGGGACTCTTCAAGTCAAGAGTGAATCGGTTCCTTCTAGCACGCTCCATCTTAGACCACTGCATTGCTTACCATCAGGTGATCTGTGGTAAAGTGCTTGCCTATCTTGCATAAAAAAAATCAATTTTACGTTACCTACCAGCTTGTACCTTACGTGCAATTAAACGTAATGCGGTTTCAGCGTTAATCATGGTTTTACTATACCAGTATCAGCCGGTCTAGGCTCCTGCTGTGCAAGCAGGTTTAGCAGCTCACTACCATTGCGAGCTTGGAACGGCGGCGCCAAGGGAGAAAACACAGCCTCCGATCCGGTGGGCATACCACCCCTGCTGTCCGTCGGAGCAAAGCTTTCCTGATAAAACCAAAAACTTTTAAGACGCATATCGATATCATTGGTGTTTTTAACAGACTACAAAATGAAAAGTGGAAGGTTCTATGTGTGTATGTTTTTTTATAGTCATAGAATCTAGGATAACATTTATTCCCGATGAGTTACGCTGTTACTCGTTGTTAAAAAATTTTGATGAAAATTCTCAACCAATAACGGTGTTACAAAATCTGTCCCTGCATTAAACGTATGACTCGTTGGGATATATTTTCAGTTTCTGTCACATCCCAATCTAAACTTATATTAATGCTATACAATATTAGCTTAAGGCCCGCTTACCTGCCCATCGCATCGAGAGCAAAGACGCGCTCGCTTGATTTCAACCATTTTTAATCACAGAAAAAACAAATGCCGTTATAAAATAATGCATTATATTATATTATATCGAAACCTATTTTTGTATTTATTTTTATACTAGCTTTCCGCCAGCGGCTTCGCCCGCATGTTCCCTAGGGAACTATTTAGTAGGATAAAAAGTATCCTATTATCTAAGTCAACTAATACCCTATCTGTATACAAAATTTCATAAAAATCCGTTCAGTAGTTTCGGCGTGATTGACGGACAAACATCCAAACAAATAAACATTCACATTTATAATATTAGGATTAATTGGATAGTTATGGTGAAACATAATAGTTGTAAAAACGATCCATTAACCCTATTTACAGTCATCTTTGCGATTTTTTTCTATCGAGCCAATTATTATTTCTGTTTTTACAAGCAATCGATCATATTTTTATTTTGCAAATATTACCATGGCCTTTTAAATAAAATTGGTCTAAAAAGTGGTAATTTCGTACAACCTCTTACCCCTAATTTTTACAATCAAACTTTTACAATAATATTTAATAAAAAATATCTTGCGAACAATACATCACACTTAAGTATTTAGAAAAATTGCTCACGAAATTTAAATATACGCAAAAAAAAGAGTTTTTGTTGTCGCACGAAGCAAAATATAAATTGATCTGCCTTGGGACAACTTGAATGAAGTTATTAAATATACAAACATCATAACGTGATAATTATTCGTATAATTATTGTTAAATCTGGAGGGTTATTTACGTATTATTGATAAGTGCTAAACAAAATTCATAAATGTAGAAAACATTTCAAATGTAGGTACACCTACATATTTTTAGTATCACAGTAGGCACCATTAAAGGTTCAATGTCTGTTAATTTTACCCTCAACTAATATGTAATTCATTTTATAACATTTACGTATTAACTATCATAAGTTATGCTTATAATGTGATTAATTATAATTATCATTTCAAAATATGATCTATAATTATTCATTTATTTTGAATACAGCTCAATTTAAAATTTTAATATACTTACTGTTGTGGTGGTAGACTTAGTATCGCTGGCGGTAGTAAAAATAGGTTTCGTATCATCCATATTATAATTGTTGTATGTTATAGAATCCATAATAAAGACAAAACAATATCGAAAATAATCAAATTGTATGACGGATCTGACAACGGTGCACACTTCCTGCGAAAAGAGCACGGTACGCTAACTCACCACAATATATACGTTAGATGTATAGGTAGGATAGATTTATGTAGATAACTATGACTGGTTACTGCTATGGACTATTTGTAAATACCCTCTAATAACATTTCTTAAAAGTCGACTCAGAATCATAGATTGAGGGTAGATGCGACATGACTTGGTAATAAAGCATGTTTCTCAAAGATAGTGCCAAATCGAACCCATATCTATGAATTTAGTATATAAATGATAGCGGGTTGCTTCCAATTTACAGTCTTTATTGCTATATTTTTTTTAACATTACAAAGAAATTAGTACGAATTTTATATTCTTCCATATTTTGGGCCCATAATACAATTATGTACTTTGTCAAAACGAACTTTTAAAAGAAGAGGTTAATTGAGCTACTAATTTTATGTTTTCAATAACTAACAAATTTAGAATTCTCAAATTTTACATTCTTACTATTATCTAACGGTAGACAGAATACATTTTTTTACTTCTAAAACCAAACCTTTCGATTAAATTCGTAGCGCAAGCAAAATGAAAATCCAACTTTTATGTATGGGGACCAGAAAATCATGAGTAAAAAGAAACAAAGACGCAGTTATAATTTTAAAACATTTAATTCACCATCACTATTAGAAAAAAATTAAATCATCTAATAATACAGATTTATTATGTCACATACTATCACTGCTGAAGAATCAATATTGTGCTATTATTACTTAAAATTACACTATAAATAATTATGAAGAAAAATTATTAAAAAATAGGAACTTAAATGACGCATTCTTTTACATTCAGTAAAAATCATCAAAAATCATACATAACTTTTATCACTCATATTCATCTTAAAAAACTAGTAAGTACTAAAAATTTTAATGTAATGAGCATAAAACTGTAACAGTATCATGAGGCGGAATAGATGACGATTGATATTAGTCGGAAGCGAAAATATGATATTAGTTATTGCAATCCAATCAGTCATGTTACACGTTTTGTAGGTACAATCAGAAATAGCCATAAAGTGGCAACAAACAGTTAATTGAAATTATCGGAACTATGATAATGGGAAGTGCTTTTTGAATGTTCTAACAACAATACATAATAAGCCAAAAAATTACATTATTACAAACGAGAAACGAGGTAGAGCGATTATTATTGTCCTACGACCAAAGACTGGAAACGCTAATAAAGAAAACATTCTTTACACTTTTAACGTTGTCACTAAAAAGCAATCAAATATTTTAGTCTATTTATGAATATTTGCCAAAGGATTTACCATAATGCTTATTTTATTTCAAGATACGCATTACAGCTGTAGTGCTATTCTGTAGTAAAACCAGCCTTAAATTCGACATAGAGCTCACGCTGTAACAGCATATGGGTTCAATCAAATAAAACCTATATCAAAAGGCAATAAAAAATTTAGTTCATTGAAGCTCTATAATGTGACAACGCTGTGCTCCTCATCGAGTTTAAGGCTTTTATTACCGAATAGCAATATAGCTGTCCTGCATCGTTGCCCGTTAGAATGGCTGGTCACCAGTGGCGAATGGTTCTTAAAGCAGGTCGTGAACTTTTGAATGTAATCAAAAATAAGCACTTATTTTATCCAATACAACTTAAGAAAAATCTGCCTCTTTTTCATTGTACTAGGAGGCCACCACCCGTCCTGATGTTTAAATTGATGCATTCATCTATGAGTGTTTTCGGTCTTCTAATGTAATATTACAAAGCATTTATACATGTTTTGATTCTTAACAAAAAAATGACGTCAAATGGTTAAAACAACTGCAAATTGAATTATATTTGTTCAAATATACATTTCCATAATGCTATTTAAGTGTGCTACAAATATTCATTAGATTTTTTAATCAGTGTTAACATCGTCAAGGTTACCAGTTAGTAAAATAAGTATAATGTTATCATAGTCTATGATTTCGCAAACTTTTCAAACCTGTTTACAAGTGATACTATGCTAAATAATAATAAAAAAAAACACGCAAACACACACTTGTGTTCGAAATAAAAATAAAAGCTCTCAGTCAAGACAACTAAAATGGATGCAGTTTTTCATATTTTCTTGATAAGAGGCGATGAAAAGCGTGGTGAAGTCGAAGGTAGGTACAATCGCTAGCTGTTGACCTCTAAAGGCGACTTGCAGCGGTGCACGTAAGCACTCACTGATGTATCGTCTTCATCGATGGTGCATACCATCCCTTTAGCGCACACGCAACTGGAGATAAGAACAATAACTTACTTATAACTCGTACGAATGAACATGACATCCGAGGTTTGATTTAGGTGAAAAATGCGTTTCTTTGGAATCGTATTTGTCCTCAAACCCAAAATTCAAGAAAAGATAGATCACGTGTTTTGCTTTAAAGGTACTATAAAGGTAAATAGAGACTGTTCATGAAAATTCTATAATAATAATAATAATAATTTATTTGCTATAAATAGCTTATTTGTATTGAAGTCAGGCGGTTAATTTTAACACCCCTATACAAAATCTCCGCCCGATTTGAACATATATGAAGCGCCTTTTACAATTTAAAGTCTATTCTTACACATTATTGAAATCTATTTAATTTTTTTAACATGTTTTTTTATTAGTACTTACTAGGCGTTCGTGACATTTTCCTCTATGAATTTAATTACTGGTCTGTATATAGTCCAGGCGCATGGAGTGCTTCGCGCGCAGATGTTCGATGTCCTTGTCGTCGTGGGGCGCGTGCCAGGGCTTGACGTAGGCCGAGTACTTTGGGTACTCTGGACATGCTCCTCTTCTTCAGTATTTACCGCTCTCTGAAAATAAACGTAATGTATTCTTAATGAAAAATGCTTAAAAAATCCACATTGTCCCTGGCACTCTGAGATGGGACTCGAACCCATAACCTTTCGAAATCCGGGCGCCTAATCTAACCACTGAGCTACCCAGGACCTTACAGGACTCACGAATTTTTTAAACACTTGCTACTTTTTCGCTACTTCAGAGCGTATTTTCACAATATTCAGGCAATCCACCCAAACAGCCGAAAGAAATATTTTTACAAATATTTAAACTTTCAATAAATATGAAAATTTCTTCTTATTGATATTTTGATAAACTTTGCAATCACAATGCTATACTGAAAAATATTTTTCATTAAGAATATTTTAAACTACTGAAAAGACCAAATGCGCGCACTGCATTATATAACTGGGATTTTTAAGGTCCTAGATTTTTCACTGTTACAAATAAGCATGTTAACACACCAGTTAGTTTATTTATATAAGCCCCACTATGAGACGATGATGATTATCAATGTATGGAGAAAAATTGTCTTAACCTGAAATATTGTCTCACTTATAATTTATGAAACATATATCTTTGGCATTTATCTGTTCTCAATTTTTCAGAGTGACAAAGAAAATAAAACGATAACTTTTTTTTAAATATTTCTCTAATTACAAATTGAATTGGTGACCATAATTCATAATTTTATTATAACCATAATTCATAATTTTATTTATTCATAATTTTTATTCATAATTTTATTATGAATTATGGTATGTATTTCTTCGCAATCAAAGATCGGGAGACCTTGTACTTAGAAGCACCGGCAAGAAACTTGGCAAGGGCTGCTTCTTTCTCCCTGATTTATTGCATACAGAGATGTTAAATTAAAATTATATATGACTTCATTAGAATATGAAGTCTTCATTAAAAGAGATGTCTTTTGGTTTCCGGATAATACCGGTGAAACCAGCTTTCGCCACCCGTAAGCATATCAAACATTTATGCGATAAACAACATGAAGAGTTTTTGGGTCGGTCAAACTATGAAACCAGGCACAAAGCCTATCAATTAATTAATAACCTACATATTTTTTAAAAAGTAGTTTGTATGTGTGTTGGATTGCTCTAAGTCCTTTTTTGTTTGAAATAGTATACTTCCCAGATGGTCCTATTGTTATCAAGTCAGAGTCTAATAATGTTAAAATATATTTTTAGTATCACTTTTAATGTTGAGTTTGGATTTGCGAGCACTTATCTTTAAAGTTATCGGCAGATATCAGGAATTTTAAATAAGTTTGCAGATATGTATTTAAATGTCGGTGCTCTTGATTCTAATAAGTAATTCAGCTAATGGTAGGTAGTAGAGGTAGAAGGTGGGTTTAGAAAAGAATAATCCAAATTCAAAGAATCAAAAACAACTTCATTAATTTACTGCAAAACTAAAGAATGACGGGTAAATCTTCACCCGACTTCAAAAGTTGTATAACTTTAATTCGACTTTTATTATTTCCTTTAATTATTTTTTTACATCCCAAATTCAGATATCTCTGGCGTCATATTAAATATATAGCAAATAAATATTATAATGAGTGAAATGCAAGAGGATTGCAATAAATTGTTATTGTATTTACTTGAACTGATAAACAGGTCAATTTTTCTGCGAACCTCATTGCCGACTTGATAGCAGAGGTCTTGAAGGGCACACAATATCTTCCCTTCTGTATCATAATGAAAGTTGATGTAACCCGGAGTTATAAAAAAACAATATGACGTGATTATTAGCAAATATAAATGTTTACTATAAAACTTAAATAACCCACACATAAGTTTGTACTTATTATTTATTGTGTATACTTAGTGCGTAAATGTTGTTTGACGTCTTGTTTGTTTTCTATAAATAATATTAAAATAATAAATTGAAGATGCTGATAAAATTAAAAATAAGCATAAATATGTAAATAAAATTTTTCTATGTTAATAAATTCATACAAAACTGAGGCAAAATATTTTCTAATTCAAACTTTTCGGGTAAAACCGGAATGTGAAAATAAATTATCATGGATTTTAGAATATTCCTTGGGTCGTGAAATAAAATAAATTAGTCTAACTATGTAAAAATGAATCATTATTTGATCCACTATAAAGATAAACTTAATAAAGGAATATTATTAACAAAAACATTGAATATTGTGTTATCTTAATGAGTTGAGTAGCAGTACCGTGCACATGAACATGATGACAACGTACGATGCGCGTACGCTTGCGCCCTTGAGCGTACTGTATATCGCTACGCCTACGGTACACAAACTATGAATGAATCAACTAATTTCTGTATCTACCGCATGGATCGTATCTATTAGAATAAACAGGAAGTAGGCAAAATGGCAAAATATCTATAAATTTGTATAAGTAAGGTAAATGTTAACCGAAAATTCAACTTAATCAGTGGCGCGCTTCACAGATTAACGCCGATTATTTTCTAGGATATAAAATTATATTCCGTTTTTTGAATGGATTGAAATTTATTTTCCAAATACTTTTGAATGTTTTAGCTATTCCCCAGATTCACTGTTTTTTATAGTATCCGACGTGAACTTATCATAAAGCTCACATAATATTGTGTTACACAATCACCCAAACTTTCGCGGTATATATTACGGAAACGTGACGTTTTCTACACTGTGCTTGCGCAAGTATAAGTAATATTTGACTAAAGGTGTTTAGATGTAAACGGGTGAATTCTCCTAAATGAAAATATGCTACAAAGCAAGCCATAAAACATAAATGTTTGTTTTCACTTCGCTTGCTCTAAAAGTCAGCAATTATAGCGTTGCAATGTGTCAAAAATCATGAAATATCACAATGGTGGAGGGGGGGTAAAGTAATATATCACGTGTATTTATTTTTTCCTCAAACGCGTGATTTCTAAACCGAAAAGCGGCGTCAAAAGTTAAGATTTTTTGTAGGTACTAAATTCAGTCAGTTTTAAACCTCACCATGTATCACCAAGGCGGAGGGGGGGTTCAAAAATGCTGAAAAAAAATAACAAATTCCTTTTTAGATAAAAGTAATATAAAGAACTTAGATTATAAGACTCCACAAAACAGGGTTCGTGATATTTGAAAAAAGGAGGTTGGTATTTGGTCTCCCAGTTACGTATGAAGTTGAACGGACCTCCTAAGCTAAAAACATACGAACTTTATTTCATTTAAAAAGTTCAGATAGATACACAATGATTTTTCAAAAAAATATGACTAACGTACTAAAGATATTAGTGATACCACCTTCATTAATGAATAATTGATTTCTGTGGTGAAACCATACACGGTTAATAAATTCTAGAAATGTCTATTGAAGATTTCGCGAAGATTCGCTAATGTATGTATTCTCAAAAAATGCTCAGATTTTTGTAGTGTCCAGGGATGTCTGTTATAAAACTGTTCTGGCTTTTCAAAATTCGAATCCTAGTTTTGGAAATATGGGGTCGGCAACCCTTTTTTTTTGTTGACCCAGAGAAAATGCGTTTCGGCCACCCCTGCGGCAATCCTAGTTTTGTAATATAATACCACATTTGTCATTACCATGGCCCGCCAAAACCGAGCCAAAAGACAAACGAACAGCAAGGCCACTACCTACTTTTTGGGTTCCGTACCCAAAAGGCAAAGCGGGAACCCTATTACTAAGAATTCACTGCCTGTCTGTTTGTCACCAGGCTGTATATTATGAACCGTGAAAGTTAGATAGTTGAAATTTTCACAGATAATTTATTGCTGTTGACGCTTCAACAACAAATACTAAAAATCAGACTAAAATATATATTTATGGGAACTCCCACACAACAAACTTGCTTTTTTTTGCTTATTTTTGCTCGATATTGGTAACGACAATAGGTAAAAATATGAACAGAATATGTATTTATGTAGTAACTTCAAGAATAAATAATTAAATTAAAATTAAAAAAATATTTCCATATAACAAATGTGATTTATTTGCTCGATTCCGGTACGGAACCCTTCGTGCGCGATCGTGGAGTCGGCCGGTTTTTCTCGAAAAACTTAGTTGGTTTTTGAACCCTCAAAACTTCAGTTTGGATTAATCAAATTTTCTGGATTAATATTAAATTAAGTATTCGACTACAAAAGATTTTATATTCGCCTTTCGTTTGACATCTTCTTTTTTTGGAAGTCTGTTAAAAATAATTGATTTGATTTGATTTAGAAAATATTGAGTACCTACTCATAATCATAAATAATAATAATAATGAAAATACTATCTACATATTACAGAAAGCCGCCATTCTTAATACTTGGCGAATAATCAGAAAGTTCGTGCAGTGTGAAGGACATGAAAAAGATTTAAAAAAATTAATACTGTAATAACTGACCAGTGCCCCTCTTTACATAAAACTAACCAGCTTCAAGCTGAAAAACATAGGAGATTAAGTATATTAATAATAATAATTTCCCATATCCACCACACAAACACAAACCCGCAACAGTACACAAAGAGCCGACTAACTTGGCCTAGCCCGATAATAATAATAATACATAACATGTAAGTGATGTAGTTATAATATAAGATCTTTAGACCATAATCAATAATAGCATGCATAGTTATAAAATATGGTTTACCTCTACAAAGTTTGAATTAGTGTTTGAATTTTCAATCTTGTAAATTAAAAATTTTATGCCTACATTCTGTTATAGGAACATGTTTTTCATAAATATGTTGGTTACCCAGTTTGTAGCCGAGGGTGAGATTGAGAAAATTTATAATGATAGTAAGTAACGGTTTCTGAATATTTTTTTGGCAGTTTTTGACGCTTTCGTTCAAGCAATACTCACATTGGCCTTTTGATTTCATCTCATTTTCTCTTTGTCTGTACAGACAAACAAGCACTTTGACAAGATATTGCTTATACTACTTAATATGACAAGGTACCTATCGAATTTCTCATCGGATTTTTTAGTAGTTTAAAATTTGGTAGTAAGTTAATTGGCTATTGGAAAAATAAGTAACTGCTAACACTTTTAATGAAGTATGAAAATGAAAAAATCAAACCAAAAAAGAGTCAGACTATGAATATTCGCATCTTAATATCGCATGGCGAAATCGAGAGGCAAACTGAATTCTGAAATCAACAAGTGTCTATTCCGGGAAATGATGCCTTTACGAACCTCTGGCCTTGATTTAAATGTAGACTATTGATGACAACGTTAGGGCTGTGACTCTGAGAATAATAGCAGACATTTCTTCTTTTTCGACAAACAATTTACGACAAATATTATTGTACCCTCAATAGTTTTGTTTATCCGTTGCTGTTTAAAAGCGACAGTTTGGTAGTGCGTAAATATTTATGTGCTAGTGCTAACGTATTAATAGTGTTAGTTACTTATCTAGATAAATCTCTTTTTTATATCTAATACTG